TCTCTCTCAGATAAAGACCGGGGCTCCTGCAGGTCGGAGCGTCTGGCCAAATACAATCAGCTGATGAGGTGAGTACTTCCTGTCACTTACAAAGTAAAAGCACTGACCTTGTAAAATGAGGAATAAAAACACAGCTGACCTGACCTCTGACCTCTGACCTCTGTCCTGCAGGATTGAGGAGGAGCTCGGAGACAAGGCTAAGTTCGCCGGCAAAGATTTCCGTCACCCAAAGATCAACTAAATCGCTGTCCTGACTTCCTGTCTGACTGACAGCTGATGACCCTTGAAGCCCCTCCCCCCCTAAAGCTGGGGGGTGAGAGGTCAGAGGTCACAGCGGGTTTCTAGCTATTCCATTAAAGATGTTTTCTATATAAAACACAATAAAGACTGAAGAAGAAAACACGTCTGATTACATTCTGTCTATTTTACTGTGGGGACGGTGAATAAACATGAGGCCTCATGTAAATCATTTTGAAAATACCACAAGTTGCTTATTGTACTTTTCTAAAAGGCAGTTCAGGTTTACATGTCTGTCATTTGTAAAGTAAAAGACACTTTTTAACAAGAAGCCTCCTCAAAGACCTTTAAAGGTTCAGTGTGCAAGTTTTAGCGGCATCTAGTGGTGAGGATTGCCTAATGCAACCAGCAGCTCACTGCATTCACTTGCTCCTCAGGTTAATTCTAATGAAATAAACAACAACACGGAGCCACAGCGGCTGTTGTGCTAAATAATACGTTTGGGCCTCCATTTGTCCAAATTTCACCTCTCTTCTTACTTCTAACAAACCAGACAACTACGACTACTACTACTACTACTAGTACTAGTACTACGACAAGTACGACTAGTACTACTAGTACTACGACTACTACTACTGCTACTACTGCTACTACTAGTACTACGACTAGTACTACTACTGCTACTACTGCTACTAGTGCTACTACTAGTGCTACTTCTTCTTCGTCTTCATATGTATTCAACGTTGTGAGGAAACGTGCTCTGTAGAGCAGTTTGTCCGTTTTGGGCTACTGTAGAAACATGGCAGTGCAACATGGCAACTTCCATGTAAGAGGACCCGTGGCCACTTTATTAGGTACACCCGTTAACTCAAATAGCAAATCAGCTGATCACATGGCAGCAGCTCAATGTATTTAGGCGTGTAGACGTGGTCAAGACAACTTGCTGAAGTTCAAACTGAGCATCAGAATGGGGAAGAAAGGGGTTTTAAGTGACTTTGAACGTGGCATGGTTGTTGGTGCCAGACGGGCTGGTCTGAGTATTTCAGAAACTGCTGATCTGCTGGAGTTTTCATGCACAACCATCTGTGTTTACAGAGAATGCTCTGAAAAAGAGAAAATATCCAGTGAGCGGCATTTGTGTGGACGAAAATGCCTTGTTAATGTCAGAGGTCAGAGGAGAAAGGGCAGACTGGTTCGAGATGACAGAAAGGCAACAGTAACTCAAATAACCACTCGTTACAACCGAGGTCTGCAGAATAGCATCTCTGAACGCACAACACGTCGAACTTTAAAGCAGATGGGACCACACTGGATCTCTTCTGTCAGCTAAGAACAGGAAACTGAGGCTACAGTTCACACAGGCTCAGCAAAACTGGACAATAGAAGACGGAAAAACGTTGCCTGGTCTGATGAGTCTCGATTTCAGCTGTGACATTCAGATGGTAGGGTCAGGGTGTGAACAACATGAAAGCATGGATCCATCCTGACTTATATCAACAAACTGAGCATCGTTCAAACCCGACAGCCTACCTGAGCATTGTTTCTGACCATGTCCATCCCTTTATGGCCACCATGTGCCCATCCTCTGATGGCTACTTCCAGCAGGATAATGCACCATGTCACAAAGCTCCAATCATCTTAAATTGGTTTCTTGAACATGACAATGAGTTAAATTCAATTCAATTTTATTTATATACGCCAAATCACAACAACAGTTATCTCACAGCACTTTTTATAAAAGAGCAGGTCTAGACCGTACTCTGTGAAGTTATTTACAGAAACCCAACAGTTCCCAGTCAACAGATCTCAATCTAACAGAGCACCTTTGGGATGTGGTGTAACGGGAGATTCTCATCATGGATGTGCAGCCGACAAATCTGCAGTAACTGTGTGATGGCATCATATCAATATGCACCTCTCTGTCTCTGAGGAATGTTTCCAACACCTTCTTGAAATATGCTGCGAAGAATTAAGGAAGTTCTGTAGGCAGAAGGGGGTCCAACCCGGTACTAGCAAAGTGTACCTAATAAAGTGGCCGATGAGTGTAAATAGCTCATTCTAAGGTAATAAAAACATAAAGGTTCATCATGTAAGGTCTTTATACACCACTGAACACATACAGTACATCCTCCTAAATGTTACACAGTGAACTTCTCCTTGACTTTTGGAACCTCTCAGGGACTCCAGCATCCTCTTTAACAACAAACACACGGTCACTTCAGAGGACATTACATTGACTTGACTTACACTAACCTAACCTCACAGCTCTAGTCTGTTTGCTGCAGTCAGACTGCTGGAAACCGACATTTCAAAAGACAGGATGTTGTGAATGGACCAATCAGCAGCAGACACTCACCAGACTGAACCCACAAATCCAGCCAATCAGAAAGAGACACCTTTAGGACAATCAAAGATCCTCGCAGGCACAGAGCACCCACTCCAACACAAACACAGCCGCACAAAAAAAATAAAAATATGGCTTGACAGAAATCAATATCTGTTATCTCTGTTAATATTAATATTTTATCATTTCTCTAATACCACCACTGCAACCTAAAGTTATGTTTGTCGGCTGATTCTATCCTTCACCTTAAAATGAACGTTCATATTCATCCTCTTTTAAAACAGGCCATTAACAATAAGTTTGCCTGCGTAGGGGCTCAGGCGATAGAGCAGGTTGCTTGTTAATCAAAAGATTGGCGGTTCATTCCCGGCTTCTCCAGGCTACATGTTCCACCATGAATGTTAGTTTCTGTTTGAGCACTTTGACTCAGTGTGTGAATGTGATGTAGTGTAAGAGCACTCTGAGTTTGGTAAATCTGACTTAAACAAACCTGACAGAAAAAGTTTAGAGTTTTAGGAGAAGAATAGAAAAATATTCTTGTATGAGGTCCATTTCCTCTCTTCCATATTTCTCAGTAACATGAACTGAAATGAAAAAAAAAATCTTTTCAGACACTGTCACTGTTATTATTCATGCAACCTAACTTCCTCCTTCCTCTATCTGCACCACCACAGTGTTTCTGTAAATGTCGGGCTGTTCGAAAGTAAAGTTTTCTCCTCACAGAGTCAGCAGATTATCAGGAGGAGGAAAGGGACAGCTGGCTGTGAACTGATGTCCTCACTGTGTTTCTGAAGACTTCCTTTAGTGAGAAGCAGATTAACTTTGTGCTTGTTGGAGTTTCTACAGGAAGATGAAGATGTTTGTGGTGTTTGTGATCCTCGTGCACGGTAAGATAACCTTCCTCCCTCTGATCTGATCATCACCTCAGTCCAACGTCACCTCTTTAATTTGTATTTCTTCTATCTTAACGTCAAGAGTCTGTTTCGGCTCCATGACTTTTGCCGTTTCCCAGTTCAGATACCTTCCTTTAGTACACGTTCATGTGTCCACTACGTTCTTACCTATGTAGTGAGTTGTTTTAAATCAAACATGGATGTTGTGCACTTACTGGAACTGAGGACTGCATCATTTGACTTCTTCTTCTTCTTCTCCTCCATTAATGGAGAATTTCAACCATTATTAGTAACAAATCATTACAGACACATCCATGGTAAGCAGGGTGTGAATTATACAGTGACAACCAGGTACTGGGAAAAGAAAACCCAGCACAGTGCGGGTGCATGTTTCAGTAAACTAAAATCTTACAAAGCTTACAATATCCTTGCTTATTTAACTAATGTGTCCAGTCTGTAGATGATGATAAATCAAATTCATTACATTAGTTGATGGGAGCCTCATACCACACAAAATCTTGTAGTCAGATGTCACTATTGTACAGACACACAACAGCAGTCCATCAGGACCGCTTAAACAGACCCACACAATGTTGAACCAGAACCAAAGACACTTTCATAAAATACAGTCTGCATTATCATCTCTAATCCCTAATTCTTATCATTTCAAGTTTCTACTTTTTTTTAGCAACCTTTCCTCCAGCTCATGTTGACTGTGAATGAAATGTAATCTGCGTTCAATAAAGCAGTTGTCATACACTGTTGGGAAATTGGGAATTTTTGGGTCTTAAATAGTACTTTCTAGACCTGCTCCATATAAACAGTGCAATGAGATGCCTTTTGTTATAAATTGGTGCTATATAAATAAAACTGAATACATTTAAAATAACAAACCTGGATTTTAACATTTACTTTGCTTCTGAATTCCACAGTGAAAACAAATACCATTCTTATTGTAGAAAGACTCACAAAGAAGCCTATTTAAAATGAAATAATAATATCTATATTGATGTCAAAATGTATACCTACAATAGTTTTTCTCAAGGGGGGCGCTGGAAGCAATATTTTAGAAAGGGGGGTGCTGAGCTGCTTTTGGGGGGCGTTTGTTGGTTGGAAATTCTAAGGTGAGTTTACACTTAAGATTCACAACAATACGAGTTTAAACTTTAAACTACTTGCAAAAAAACTGTGGTCTGTAACATTAAAACCTGCCAGTTTAGTCCACTGCGACTGGAAGAGACTGTGTATTTTTGTGTATCAGCTACTTGTGGTGCAGCTCCGTGCTGCCTTCAGGGGAACGGGAAGTCGGAGTATCATCTGTAAAATTTTGCCCACGTGGCGTTTATTGTGTAAAATCTAGAAAACTGATGCTCTCTTTCTAGGTGGAAACGTGTTTATTTCTCTGAGGAACGTCTTGTTATCGCAGTGGTTACACATTTACAAGAAGGATATTCCGCTGTTGGACACACCCTGAAAGCGACACCAGCGAGTGACGTGGACCCACCTCGCGCTGTGAGTCGCAGACAGTTTGTGCCAAAGCGGACATATAGGTAGTTTCAATAGGCTATAAAATGTACGTTAAAAACTGAAGCCCTGTCTTGCTCTGTTGGGGATTGTAAGCGGCGCTTTATCAGAGGTGCTGAAGTTAACGTGTGGAATTATTCGTGAGCTTTCTGTCTAATCACAGGTGTTGTTGGTTAGTTTTCTTTTTCCCCGGCATGAGCAGGTCCTCTCATTCAGTTTTGTCAGACGGCGAGGGGAAACTTCCAGCGAATCAGTAACATAATGCAGTAAAGGGCATGTAGTAAAATATTATGAATTCTCTTTAAATAGGCTAAAGACATTGGTCTCCTATAACGTCTCTTTTTCTTTTCCTGTTAGAGAACACAGATACGTGGCAGAGATTCTGAATGTGCATAAAGTTTTGAATTAAAACGGATTAATGTATCACTGAGATGAAAAGGGGCCACAGACACCTTTAAATAGGTTACTTCACAAAAAAATAGGAGGTAAGACTTAATCATGCGTGTTGACTCAGCAGGGATATTAAGTTGATCTACAGGAGAAAGATATTTAAAGCAATAAAAATGCCTGAGAGCCTCACTAGATTATATTCTATTCTAATTATATATTTTGAATTGTCACCTGAATTTTTAGACATTTGCACCCTAAATTGGTGCAGAAAAGGCAGAAATTAGGGCAGAAATTTCACCAGAATGCAGGAAATTAAGTGTTTAATGGTCAAAATCTTCAGGACCCCATACCCCCCACTTATTAAGTGCCCCATCCAAGAAAACAGTATCTTGCTTCATACACAGTTTCTGGGAGGAACATTCACTTATTCGTTAAAAATAAATCTTTTCACATGGCTTTTTTGTTACCTTTTCCATGTTCCATGTAATAACAATAGTAACAATAAAAATCATAATAATATATTCAGGGCAAATAGCAATAACATCTTTTTTGATGGGGGGCGGTAAGGGACCTGGATAATGAATAGGGGGGCGTTGGCCCAAAAAAGGTTGAGAACCACTGACCTACAATAACTAATACTCAATTTCACTGCTCATGCCTAAGCACCAGTGTTGGCTAAGAATGACATAAAAATATGGATATAGTGGTAATGAAATGATAGGGTGGGCTCTCAGCTAGCTAACAACACATAGCTCATTTAAAGTAAAATACATTTTATGAAACTCCGGAGGTTGGAAAGTTAAGTGTATTAAAGAAGCTAAGTACTGACTTTAACCTGCAGCGTCTCCATTAGTGTGATGCACCGGACTGGAGCAGAGTGATGTGGGCAGACAAGACGTTCAACTAACGTCAAGGTTAGGAAATGGTACGGTCCATTTTAGGGGTGTCAGAAATTATCTTTCATTATGTTCATGAATGTAAGGCATGCGTATGGGTGATATATTAATAACAGATAAGAAAGAACCCCTTGAACAAAATAAAACTAGTGGTTAACGTTTTGAAATGTTGCAATTTTCAAATGACACATTGTCAATGTAGTGAAATGTCACAATTTGGTTAAATTTGGGCAACAAATCTACTTGATTGGGGTTAGGAAAAATCAGGGTTTGGTTAATTGGATAACTTAAGAATCTTACATAAAAGTCATTAAATGTTGACTTTTTGTTTCACACAGGACATTAGTAGCGGTCTCCTTGGTGAAAGTCCGGTTTCGTGGTTTAATACTACAGGCCGCTGATGTCTGGTGCAGCTAAACAAACTACTATGAGTCAGTAATTGTTTTTTTCCATCATTATGTGAGCAGTCATGATCTCACTACAGGCTGTCAGGTGTGACTGTGAGGCAAGGGCGAATTGTTTACATGGCTCACAAGTCATTTTCTCTTAGGTGGTGGTAGGTAGGTATGTTTGCTTATGCTCAGGTCAAAGCCCTTTCTGACATGACAATGCCAATATTAATGGGCAAAGCAAGGGAAGCTGGTGAGACGCATACTAAAACATTTCATACTCTTAAATCAAAAATAAATTTAAATTTTACAGGGAGAATATGGGGGCCTGTGCCCCACTAGAGCTTTATGTCTAGCAACGCCCCTGGTTCTCAGTAATCCAGATCTTAGTTTTTCAAAAATGGATAAAATCAAAGGCAACTGAACTTGGTTGAAGACACTAGAGAATGTTTCGAGACTACTTCGGTTCTGAAATTATTTGTAGGTAAACTCACCATCGATACTGCTGGTTCGTTCATTAGAGCCACCTGAGGCCAAGTCTGAAAAACCATCATTGGCATCTTCCCTTGAGGCCAAAAGTGAATGTTTGTTTCCTGAGAAGTGATGAAAGGACAGCATTGTAAGTGGGGGATAAGTGGTGGTGGAGATCCCCTCCTCTGTTCAGCGACGGCTTCTATACCCGGGTGTAAATAGCTTCCTTGACACCTCTTTAAAACCATCCATCTTCTCTGTCTAAAATGTGCACCAGGTGGTCTTTAAACCGGTGGCCTATCCTTCAGATGTAGCTAAACTGCTGAGTCTTGACCTGAGGAGTTAGCCCTTTTGTGTTGAGCAATGCGTTTGTGTAGTGTTTGTTAAGTTTATATACAGGTCTGCACATTATTCACTGCATTGGACAGAACACACTTAATTGCTTTGTATGCTTTCACTTTCAGTCTCGCAACCCTCCCCCGTTTCACAAGTCCCAGGGAACAGTAACTACCCACTGTACGATCCAGCTTATATAACCCAGCTTATAAAACCCTCATCTTCACATTCTAGAGAACTCACAGGCATAGAATTTGCCTTTGCTTTTCCCTTCATCGCAATACCATTTGTTCAGTCTTCACCAACTGCAGGGCCAAGTTGGATGACTACCTCTCCACCTTTGATTTGGCACTGCGATTCAGCGGCACTGGTTTCCACAGATCACATCTTTTTCGCATTTCTATTCCTTTTCATGACAACCACTTTAAACAAAAGACCATACACTGATGCAGCACCCTTCACCGGGTGACCAATGGGCGACCACTACAGTGGCAGATAATACACCTCAGAGTGGCCGCTGGAACTGTCCTCCCTCTCATCCCTCTACAAGCCATACCCCACAACCATCGCTGCTATTGTTTGGGGGGCTCGCATGGTACACAAAGCAATCCTTGGTCGCACCAAACCCTGTCATAGCACTATTCAGGACGGTGTAGTTCAAACCTCCCACACTTTGTTCAGCCCACTATTTAACACACTTACTCGGTTTTCAAATCAAAACATCCACCATCCACGCATACTTTAGCGGATAAACCCCTTCATCAGACTCCTTTTGGTGCTCCAACCTCTTCCATCTCTTACCCCCGCATCTATGTGTTGCTCGTTTTCGTAAAGTCCAGCAACATATTTTGGGGATTTTAAACAAGACACTTACAGAGACGTGCCCCCACCCTGAGCCTCGACCGTCGGATTCCTAGTTGCTCTGGACCCCACGACCCAGATCAACCCCCTTCATCCCTTTCCTCTCAACCCATCCATCCTTTCATCCCCGAACCTTCTCTCTAATCAAATAAACTACATATGATAACTTAACTGGAATGGTCTTAGTTAGTGAATCAGGATCAAGACAATCACCACATTTGTAGATTGGAGTAATGCATGAATATTTCCAGATAACAGGTAACCAGTTAAAGGTATCTAGATTCAATCCCATCAAGTAAGGTGATGAACTTAAAGACCAAAACCAGCTTTACAGCGGCCGAACATCCATGATGACTGACGCTCTGCAAACTGGAGACCTCAGCCTCAACCTGACAAAACTCCAGCTCTCCGACAGCGGCAGCTACACCTGCACCGTCAGAGCGTTAGGAGGACAACGGAGAGTGGCAGAGATACAGCTGCGGGTCAAAGGTCAGCAACAAACACTAACAGCTGCTGTAGATACAGGTCAGAGGTCATGTTCTTTATGTTTCTGGTTCCCACAGAACGATTTCCATCCTGGGCCAAAGTTCTCCTGGTTCTCCTAGTTGTTAGTCTTGTTGCTGCTGGGGGTCTTCTGGTACATTTCCGGCAGTATTTCATGTCACTACTACTGTCAGAATCAGAATCATAAATACTTGATTGATCCCCGAGAGGAAATTCTTATGTCACAGTTGCACACATTGCACATCAAGGCATAGAGGAACATAAATACTAATAGAAAGCTGCTAAGTAAAGAATATATAATATAAAAATGTATGTAATATATAAAGAAAAATGTGTATAAAGGAGTGTAAATAAATAGTAGTAGTAATACAAGGAGTAGTGGTAGGGTTCATGTGGAATGAATTACAAATCCTCAAAAATCCTTAATGATGGAAACACAGCCCTGTACTCAGTCTGATCACCCTTGCTGATATAATACATCCAACTACAGCAGAGTCACCAGAAAACTTCTGAAGATGGCGTGTGAGGTAGTTGAAGTCAGTGGTGTAGATGGTAAAGAGGAAGGGATACAGGACAGTCCCCTGTGGACTGTTCCAGAATCAGTCAATGATCATTATCCTTACCCTTGTTGCTCTGTAACTCCAGAAACTAAAAGAGTTGAGAGTTAAAACCAATGCTGCCGAGAGCTGAAGAGAAACTCCCAGGTTTTGTTCTAGATGTGGCGGAGCATTAACTGGGTGTATGTGGGGATGGCAACAGTGCTGGCTGGCACACAGACAGACAAGGGTGTCAGAAGGCAAGCTGATCCAGGAGTCCCAGGCAGGCGAGTCCAGAGTCAGGGGTGGTCCTAGAGCGGGCTGAACACAAGTTCAAGTAGGTCCAGTGGTAGACAGGTTAGAACAGGCAAACGGACTGACAAGCAAGCAGATTCTTCTGGATACTCATCAAAGACCAGTCGACTTAACAGTCCGGTGGGGACTGGATGTTTGGCCGCTGCTTATATAGTGCTGTAGCTCAGCGAGATGTGGATCAGGTGTAAGTTAAATGCCCCAACAGGTGTATGCAACCAGCTCTAGTGGCAGGAGTCATGCCCCTAACCTAACTGCTATTAAAGTGAAAGAGAGAGACAGAGGGAGAGAGAGAGCAAAACCAAAACACAACACAGGAACAATGGGACATATTTCAGAGTTCCTGCTGCTGTCTGTACAGCTGATGTTGTGCTTTATTGTCCTCTCAGACTACAAGGTGGAGGTGGATACAAGGGTGGAGTCTGTCCAGCTGCCCTGCAAAACCATAGTTCACCTGCCTGAAGACGTCACAGTGGAGTGGACAAACAACGACCAAATGAACATGAAGGTCCACGTATATAAGAACGGCTCTTTCCAGCCTGAAGAACAGCACAGTTATTACAGAAGCCGAACAGAGATGAAGAGAAACCTGCAGAGACCTGTTGACCTCAGTCTGACCCCGAAATACCCCACAGACAGAGACAGTAACACCTACACCTGCACCGTCTACAGCAGGGAGGGACGCATCCTGATGAAAAAACAATTCCTGGTCAAGGTCAAATGTCAGAGTTGTAGATACAGGTCAGAGGTCAAAGGAAACAAAACACGGGAACAATGGGACATATTTCAGAGTGTGAGGTGGAGGTGGAGGAGGGGGCGGAGTCTGTCCTGCTGTCCTGTTGTGGAGTGGAGACGCTATGAATCCGAACCCATAAAGACCTGTATGAAAATGATTCCATGTGTGTGGAATCCAAATAAGAAATGAATCCTAAAAACTCTGTCACTCTGTCTGCTTCCTCTTCTTCAGCCAAAAGGCTTCTCTCTTCTTCCTCTTGTTGTTCCCACTTCATCTCGGCTCCTTCAGGAGAGCTGAGCTTTTGGTTTGTTTTCTTTTGGCTTTGCTGTAATCTGATGCTGTTTCAACGCCGTTTTATGTTTCGGATTTTTGAAATATGCCATAAAGTTTTGTATTAGAATTTTCTACAATGAAAAATAAATTATGTTGATCACCATAACTTACAATTGGTTTGACTTATTCCATAACTTTCTAATATGCATATGTCTTAAACTGTCAACAATAACCGAGACCCATGCGAGAATATTCTTAGCTCGCTCTCGCGCTCTCTCTCTTGCACTCTCTCTCTTGCACTCTCTCTCGCGTTCTTGCTCTCACGCGTGCTCTAGCGCTCTCTACAATAATTCGCGTTCATGTTGATAAATATGTGTGGGCAGGAGGGTGAGTGTGAGCAAGCATTCTCAATGTGAGAACCCTTTGCATTATTTGCTGACTACACCCCCCGTAAACTGAACGAAGCAAACACAATTCATTCAAATAGCCGGCTTCCCAGGAGTAGTAGGCGCAACCTTTGGAAATCTAATTTATTTGTGATTGAAGTACAGAACAACCTAGTTTAATTTGTGTACTAGTCAGGATATTTAGCAATTTTAAAATGGAAGGTGAATTTTAACTCCTGAAATGAAAAAAAGACAAACTTTAACAAATTGTTCAACATTTTGGGAAACTTGCTTCAATGCCGGCAGTTGTTAGCTTAGCATAAAGACTGTGGGACAGGGGGATGAACTAGCCAGGCTCTGTCCAAACTAAATTTGAAGCAATATCAACTACTGTACAAGTAAAAGTCCTAAAACCAAATTCTTACTTGTTTAAAAGTACAGAAGTTTTATAAGCAAAATGTACTTACTAAATTGTCAAGTACGTTAACAGTACTCTTTGGTTACTATTAGTTTTGTATTATAATATATTAAATAATGTTTTTTTAGCTGTCCTGCCCAGCAGCTGGATACCATTTTGTGACAGATTTTACTTTAACAAGAGAGTTTTAATATACTGTTTTATTTTTTATTTAATTATGTACTGATTTGTCACCGGGACGGACAGGGGGGCAGAAGCACCACCATGCTGTAGCAGGTGGAGAAAGAGCTAATTTTAACAATCTTACAAACGGTGGGCAACACAGTTGAGTAGAAGTATCAAGTATCATAAAGTGAATTTTGTACTGAAGTAAAGCACAAGAATCTTGGGTGGATGGATAAACTTTGTCAAGAAAAAAAGTAGTTGCATCGTGTGACTCTTGTTGTAAATTTTTTAACATTTCTGTTTTTGTTGTGATTAAACAAACAAGGTAGAACATGTTATTTTGTGAGCTTTAGACATATTGAAAGGTGTATTTTTGAACTTTGGACAGAGACAGGCTAGCTGTTTCCCCCTGCTTCCAGTTGTTACAAGCTGGCTCTTGCTTATAACAAAGAGAGGAAGCTAATGCAAACATAAATTTAATGGTTTCATTGTACCAACTCAACATATAATTCAAGGCAAACGTGAAAATCAGTGTTATCAGGAGTGTCATGAGTGTACGGGTGAGTGTTAAATGTGCAAAAGGGAAAGCTACATAATAGGTCTAAAATGAAGAGCTCGCGTGTCCCAAGGGTGGTGCATGGTGCTGTGGGAAACAAAAAAAAGACGTGGGCAGAGTTGCCAGCCATCTTAAATACTCAGGCTGAACAGGTGAGCTCCATCTCCTGACGACCCTGGCCTCGGCTCCGCCTATAGACAGCCTGGAACTCACAAACACCAAACAAGCACAAGCACAACACAACAGACAACCCCCGGGTCATCACGCAGTCCTTATGCTAAATAAAAGTTTATCACCTCCTTACTCTAGCTTTCTATTTATCATATAATGAGAATGATTTCTTTCTTCTTTCTTCTTCTTTGTGACTGACAGCTCCAAGTTGAAGTCGATCAGCTCTTGGGATTGATTGTGTTTCAACGGCAGATAGATGCTGTTGGAAACTCCACCCAGCTGATAAGTTTGTTGTCGCTGAAAGTTTAATGTGACCATAACTTTTTCTGAAACAATGAAATGTAGTGCAAAAGAGACACAAGTACATAGAGAGACATAAAGTCAGGATACAGACTCATGTCAGTTATAGCAACAACAACATAAGCTGCTGGTCATAGAGCAACACAGCTGTAACAACAAAACTCCTAAGTGTACTGAACGTATCCAGGATGTTTTACTGCTACACAAAACTGACTGAATGAAGCAGCTGCTTTCAACAAATAACCTGAAATCTGTTAAAAGGTGACTTAATGCATTAACACTGCTCCTATTTAAACCTATTTATTCTGATTGTTGTTGAATGAGGATTGAGGTAGTTGTAAATGTTTCTCTCTGTGTATGACTAGGTTTTGAAAAATGAGGCCCTTGTGTTGACGTAAAATCTAAATGATGAATCTCACTCTGCAGCCAGGTGGTGATGGCTGAAACATGGCACGTTGGGCTGCTCGCTGCTTCTGGAGCAGCTGGAGGCTGCAGACCCTCCTGTCTCCTCGACCGCAGTGTTTCTGTTCTCAGATTCATCACAGAGCCTCATTTTAAGCCTCACACCAACAAATCACCTGAATGAGCGACACAACACAAACAGAGGTGTGTCAGTAAATACACAGTACTGTGGTCTAGCAGTGGAGGAAGTATTCAGAGCTTTTACTTAAGTACAGGTAGTGATGCTATACTGTGAAAATACTGCAGTACAGATAAATAATTACAGCTTTGAAAATGAAACATCTTGGTAAGGTAAGTTGGTAAGGATCATCAGTAAAAGATTATATATCCTGTTATTGGATCATTATTTCTGATGCATTCATGTGTAAGCAGTATCTTAATATTGTATTCCAATATCAGCCAAAACATCAGCCAGGAAGCACAGGAACTGAGAAGTGGTCTGTGGTCTCACCTGCAGAACCACTCCTTTATTGGGGGTGTCTTGCTAATTGCCTGTTATTTCCACCTGTTGTCTTTTCCATTTGCACAACAGCATGTGAAATTGATTGTCAATCAGTGTTGCTTCCTAAGTGGACAGTTTGATTTCACAGGAGTGTGACTGACTTGAAGTTACATTGTGTTGTTTAAGTGTTCCCTTTATTTATTTTTTTTTTGAGCAGTGTACTAATGAAGACACTAATTTTAAATTTAAAGTTTGGTGATGTTGACATCTGTGAAGAGCACCCCCTGTGCTCTTCACAGATGAAAGCAGGTTCACACTGAGCACATGTGACAGACGTGACAGAGTCTGGAGACGCCATGGAGAACGTTCTGCTGCCTGCAACATCCTCCAGCATGACCGGTTTGGCGGTGGGTCAGTAATGGTGCGGGGTGGCATTTCTTTGGGGGGCCGCACAGCCCTCCATGTGCTCGCCAGAGGTAGCCTGACTGCCATTAGGTACCGAGATGAGATCCTCAGACCCCTTGTGAGACCATATGCTGGTGCGGTTGGCCCTGGGTTCCTCCTAATGCAACACAATGCTAGACCTCATGTGGCTGGAGTGTGTCAGCAGTTCCTGCAAGAGGAAGGCATTGATGCTATGGACCGGCCCACCCGTTCCCCAGACCTGAATCCAATTGAGCACATCTGGGACATCATGTCTCGCTCCATCCACCAACGTCACGTTGCACCACAGACTGTCCGGGAGTTGGCGGATGCTTTAGTCCAGGTCTGGGAGGAGGTCCCTCAGGAGACCATCCGCCACCTCACCAGGAGCCCAGGCGTTGTAGGGAGGTCATACAGGCACGTGGAGGCCACACACACACTACTGAGCCTCATTTTGACTTGTTTTAAGGACATTGCATCAAAGTTGGATCGGCCTGTAGTGTTTTCCACTTTGATTTTGAGTGTGACTCCAAATCCAGACCTCCATGGGTTGATAAATTTGATTTCCATTGATCATTTTTTGTGTGATTTTGTTGTCAGCACATTCAACTATGTAAAGAAAGGAGTATTTAATGAGATTATTTCATTCATTCAGATCTAGGATGTGTTATTTTAGTGTTCCCTTTATTTTTTTGAGCAGTATATTTTGTTGGACAGTACAGCTGCTTGTCCCCATATAAACCAAGTCAGTTTGGTCTCTCTGACTCTTGCTCTCCTGCTTTGCATTGTTTTTGTCACTCAAGCATTTGCCCTTTTCACTTTAGACTGCTATTTGGTCAGATAAGTGATAATTACAAATAACTTCACTAAAAATTGCCATCCCTTTCATGATGTCCCTTTCCAGATGACTTAATACACCTCCTGGCCAGTTGCTGTAGAAAACTCTGAAGCTAATGAAAATGTAATTAACATTGCTTTGAAGTTTTAGATTTATAATATCCTGTAACTGACATAACACTTGTAGTAAAGTTGTAAATATTTATACATATGTATTGCTTTGGTTAGAATGGATAAGATTTTTTCTTTTGCACCGTGTAACAAGAACACAGACGAGAGGGACAAACAGGCGAACATGAGAAGGGAAGGGCATGAACCCCATGGTAAATACACAATACAAGTACAAAAGTATGTGTTTTACTATCAGTTCAGAGTCATAGTGAGCAATCAACTCAGTTTTTAGTGCCACAACAGCAGGGGGCTTCTTTGTTGTTCTGCAATAACCTAATGTTGACATGTAAAACCACTGCTGATTGTAATTCAGTCCTTCCTGCATGTGCTTCACAAACCAGGTAAATAGTATGAAGGCGGGGGCAGGATTTTAAAATGTGAAACTAGAAGTTTTGATGGTGCGATTTGGGCTAGCTTATCACAAGCAAAAACAGACTTCTCCCCAAAACTAGATTTTCACATGCTCTTTTCAGTGATGTAGAAACATTGTGGGGCTGAAATAAATGTTTTCACGTCTCACAAAGCTTGAAAAAAACAGCTCAGAAAGCAGCTCAGAAAGCAGCTCAGAAAATGAGGACTACTGTTGCATGTCCTGTACTAACTCTTAGCAGCAAGGGTAAAATTTGCAACATGTTAACTTACACATAGAAGATTGATCCTGGTGAGTTTTGCGGTATTAGTTTTACACATTTTAAATATGGGGAAGAGAGAGAGAGAGCATTGACATTTGATCACTACATGGTAGGGATCACTAAATTGCTTTGAAGTTGTAGATTTACTACATAACAAATGTAATGAAAATTACGAGTTAACCCTAGAGTTTGGGTTATCGATGGCAATCTGTTTTCCTCTTTTGTAGTGTCTCTGAAAAATGCTATGGAAGGGGACACTAGAAAAAAAAATAGAAACAGCATGGTCTCAAAAAAGAGGTCGCAGCAGTGATGAGACTTTTTACTAAAACCTTATCGTCAAGGGCAAACTAGCCACTATGGCTGAATGCAAGACCTGCAATGAAACAGTGTAAGACTGCTGAACATCCTGTTCTGGCTAGTCAAGAACCCCGTGGTAAATCTGGGCATTACATAAAAATAAAAAGCCATATGATAGATATTGTTACAGACTTTTGTTGTTGAAGCTGCTGGTTCCTGTTGAGCTTTGGAACGTGCAATAAATGTTATTAGCACAGATCACGGTTGAGCCAAAATAAAGAAGCTGACATAGTCTATATGTTACTGAAAGACTACATTTAGAGTTATTTGGACGCTGTTAACACATGTAGTTTTGGGTTTTTTTCTACATAAGAATTGTCCTTATTTTGTAAGTGTAACTACAAATGAAATATTTAGTTTAGATTACAATATTCTCTTAATAGAAATACCCCATTCTTTAATTCCTCCATGCTGGAGTGTCGCTCCATGCTAGCTAAAAAGGAACTAAGAGGGAACTCCGTGTCATTACATGCCAGCCAACAATGGACGTTTCTGTAATGCAGTCAATAAATAAAATGCAATCCTATAAAATTTAGACTGAAGAAACAAGTACATTGCAAAATTGATAGAAATCTTGTCTATAACTGGTCAATTTCATTTCACAATATTTGGGGACAGAATTATTCCAAAGGTTTAGTAAAAGTTGATAAACCTGTTTTAGTGATTACTTAAAAAATATGATCATGCTGCTGAGCATTTTAGTCCTAATTTATAATTATTAAGAGCAAATACAAAATAAGATAAAGATGAAGGCCCTTTAGATAAAGTACCTTTTGCTGCTAATACTGCAATCCTTGATATTTGTGCAAGCATCCAAGTTATTTGGTAGGTAGATACTGTTCAAGGATCCAAGTGCCCTCTTGGCAATTTCTTGAAGACAATGTTCTGGTTTTATTTTCACAGACTCCCATCATTGGCCTATGGTAACCCCTCCTAGTCTCTTATCATTGGCTCACGGCTAACTCTGCCCATCCTCTTTTTTTTTTTTTAGTTTGTAAGACAAAGCTTTAGCAAAGATTTTACAAAGTTTAATTTTGGAGCTCACTCTTATTTTGCTGCATGCTGTTGAAGGTAATTTATAATGCTGTTTAATTTTTACTCACCGTTATACCATTTTACTGCTTTACTGTCATTATTTCAATTTATTCTTCACTTGTTTAATAATAAAGACTGACTTGATTCCAAATCAATGAAGAAACCTCCTACTGATCCTTTGCTGGCCCCGGAGATTCCTCCTTTACTTATAACTCACTGCTATACTTTTTTAATGATAAATTTATTGCCATAAAGACCTACTGGTTAATTCATTCAAGTTCATGTTTTATTAATTAATAAAGTCTTTAAATCAATGAAAAACCTCCTTCAATTATCAGTCAAAAACACACAATGGAAGGATGTACGCACCCCTCTTATCAGTTACATACACATATCCGGCTTGGGGGCGGGACCGGAAGTAGCTGTCAAAATTAGTTTGATGGAATGTCATCTATATTTCTCTCTGTTAAATCTATAACAAGGCATCATATTTTGTGAAATTATATGTTCTTGTGTAAAATCTTAAAATGTTAACAATTAAAATGTAAAACAATTTATGTAACGGCACAGTGCTACACTCTCTGACTGACAGCCACTGAATCTGAACAATCACAGAGATTGTGTGTGTGTGAGTGAGAGAGTGAGAGAGAGAGCGAGAGAGAACCCACATCAGCTTACCTGTGCAGGTATAGTCTCAGGTAAATGCAGAAAGAAGGAAGACAAGTTGTCTTTTATACCTCCAACCACTCAGAGCCTGTAGGCAACTTTCTGCCCGGCTCACTCTCGCCCAGTGTCTCTCTCTCTCTCTGTCTCTCTCTCTCTCTCTCTCTCTCTCTCACTGTGTGCCTGGGAAGTAAAAAATACGGAAGTGTGTGCAGCAAACTGATGTGAAGAGATTAAGTTCAGTTCACATTCTACAATCACGCCAGCCAAAGTCTGAGCCACACGGGGTTTCTTGGTTTGTGTACTTTGGGAAATGAAGTGTGTAAAAGTGGTTTTGTTGTGATGACTTTTGTTTTATTCGTACATATCTCCTTATCCTGACTGACCATATCTTAACTCCGTTCTGTGACTTGTGAATATGTTCACATTCAACACCTTCAATATTACCTGGAGTAAAACTTATTTTTGTATGTTTTGTTATAGTTTCATGTTTTGCTGTTCACCTGTGGATCAGTTCCTCCCATACAATGGTATTTACATGTATATATTATTCTAAAAACACTTATAAGGAAAACCTAGAAAAAGCTGAAGGTCACTGTGCAGAAGTGCTGCCAATAAAGGAAGATCTGCTGGACAGCACTGTGGCCCTGACTGATAATCAGGTGTATACTGAGTGGTCAGCATTTGCAAAGTGGAAACCTTGTTTTTTGTTTGCATTTGTTAGCATACTGTTGTACAATTTCAGCAACAGCATTTTAAATTTACCAACAATACGAAAAACAAGAAGAGACGAAAAACAAAAAATAACAATATTAAATAAATTTTTATGTAAATTGTTTGTAATGTAAATTACTGTATTTTTTAAGGCTTTCTTGAATCTACACAGAAAGCTAGGACGTTTCAACTCATCACTAAGTCCATTCCACAATCTTATGCTTTCCTTTTCTTAATTTAAAAAGTTTTTTAATACAAACAGGAAGGCTTCTATTTTTAACTCAAAAAAGTACTTCCAATGTTTTTGAATGCACAATGTCTACAAACTTCAATGTGCATGAGTCTATAAATAATTGGTTAGTAGATTCACAGAAACCCGCTTTATTTGTTATTCTGATAGCTCTTTTTTGTAGTTTAATTATAGGGTCTATATTTGTTTCATATGCATTTTATATGACATATATAGTAGCACTTCATCAATCAAGTCCAGTATGCCCATCTGTCGTTTAGCCACCTTACTTATTTCATCTGATATGAAATTTCATAGATTTTTTAACCTCCTCCATATTTTCTGCTAACTTCTTAGTAGCCAGTTGATTATTAAAGTACTTAGGAGAAAAAAATACAACAACTTTCTGGCTGAGTCTCCAGGTAATGCAGTTTTGGTGGTGTTTCACCACCTTGCAGCACAGGTCATCAAAAATGCCCCAAAAACTCCAAAATGTCAGGAAATAATCCTGCAAAGTTAAACCTAACTCTTTTGAAAAGCTAAACGCCTTACTTAACTTAATGTCAAGAATATTCCATGATTTTTGATGGATTGGGATCTGTTGTTCAGTTGTTCTGGAACAACCCCATGCAATTCCTCCATCTCACGGAGAAAAGAAAGGTCAGGTCAAAACAGTGCAGAGAGTTTCACAACGACACTCATTTTGTTCATTCTTTTACTGTTGAGGCTCTCGTCCTTCCCTAAAAGGTTCTTGTAAAATATCCACTGTGTCTGCGTCTTCTAACATCATAGCGATTTATAGTTTTCTCACCGCTGGTTTATGTCACTGCATCTCCCGAGAAAACACCAAGGTTTTAGGCTTTGGGGAGACTGCGTTGCTGTTGTCCTCTTGCAAAAGTTCAATAGTTATATGTTTCCTAAGGCAATGAGTAATCCTGTTAAATAATTGAGATCTTAATATTGACCAAAATAAGTAGCAGCCCTACATGAACATTTAATTTGTTGTGTGAAACAGCGTGTGGTCCCACCTCTGCTTAAGTTCACTGATTTTTTCCCTCAGCTCAACATGAACGTTCATATTCATCTGCTTTAAAAGCTATTTACAATAAGTTTGCTCACAAAGCAGAGTTTAGTGAATGAACAAACTGTACAGAAAAAGTTTAGAGAGGAGAAGAATATGAAAATATTCAGGCATGGGGTCCATTGTCCCTATTTCTTAATTAAATGAACTGTAATTAAAAACACGTTTATTTCCAGACAGCGTTGCTGTTGCTCTCCAGATGACATAACTTCCTGTTTTCCTTAACTGCGCCACCACAGAGTTTATGTAAATGTTTCAACATTTCAAATCGAAAGTAAAGTTTTCTCTCAGAGGTCAGTAGATTATCAGGAGGAGGAAAGGGACAGCTGGCTGTGAACTGATGTCCTCACTGGGTTTCTGAAGACTTCCTTTAGTGAGAAGCAGATTAACTTTGTGCTTGTTGGAGTTTCTACAGGAAGATGAAGATGTTTGTGGTGTTTGTGATCCTCGTGCACGGTAAGATAACCTTCCTCCCTCTGATCTGATCATCACCTCAGTCCAACGTCACGTCTTTAATTTGTATTTCTTTCATCTTATTAGTCTGATTCAACTCTTAATACTTTCCTTTAGTACACATACATTTATTACACAGTGTACATTGTGTAATTATTTTGTAGTGTGTGAATTTGGACAGGCAGTGTTTCTCAAATCGAAAACGGCTGTTTGGCACCGGAAATGAGGATCGTAACATTTGACGGCGTCTTCGTCTTAACGGATAATTGCCACCGTTCACGGTGGCAATTATAACCGCCCGCTGCATCACCCCTATAAATATAGTTATGGCATCTGTCCATCAACAGTATTATGGCACTTAGAGGGGAAAACTCTTTAACTTTTCTCTAGGGCGGGGATTAATGGAGGAAAGTTCTGCTGCAGCTGCACGCACTCAAAATAGAAAGTGTGGGCGCTTTTTTCTTAAGGTAATAAGTATCTTTATATAGCACCTTTCAAGAGCAGACATCATAAAGTGCTTCACAATAACAGAAAAAGGAGTGAATATAAGACAGAGCAGTACAGAGGTGAAAGCTAAAACTTGAAAAATAACAACATTAAATTAAACTGAAACTAAAGCACATCTAAATAAAACAGGTTCCCGCTTTTTAAAGGAGTAGCAGTAGCGATAGTAGAAATATTAGAACTACATTTATGTTAACAACCAGTGAAGAAGCCAAGATTTTAACAAGTAAAAAGTGACAGACATATTCTCTTCTTCCATTTTTCCACTATTGAACAAAAGTTTCTGTAATGTTAGTTTTTAGACACAAAGCCAGACTGAGTTATTCTGTAGGTTGTGACTTAAATGCTTTCTGTCTGCTCATGTAAATGATGATAAAGCAATACCATATCTAATTCCTCTCTTTCTTAAGTACCATACCAACTTAAGATGAGTTGCAGGTCCAAAGAATCCTATTTAATTACTAGGGGTGTAATGAGTCACCAAATCCACCGTTTGGTGTATTATTATTATTATTATATTCCATCTTGGTTTAATTAAAGTAGTTGAAGTTGCAGGCATGATCACTCAATCATGACTGGACCACAATAGTCAAGTAGTCACAATAAAATTGGTTGAAGGTGTAATATTTAGAAAATATAGGCCTACAGCTTTCACTAACTTTAAATACAGCGACATTTACTTTACTTTGGCGGGCCGGCCAGGAATATTAGCACCTGCCAAAGTATATTTGGCAACCCACTTTAGCATTTTGCAGAGAAACCCAGAGAGAGAAGTTATCTGATATTAAGTTAAGTGGACATGGCGACAGTGAACGCACCACTGCAGATGTCGCTACTAACATTAGTTTCGGTTTCGATCCACATGCGACGCACATGAAAACTGAATCATGGGTGAGTTTATTAAACACGGCGAATTAATGAAAAGTACTGCTGATGGAGAAAGTCAGTAGAGACACAAACAGGGAGAGAGAGGCGGATCAAGCTCGCGTGTTAGCCGTGAGAGACCTCGGGCCTGCACCACGAAGCCGGTTCAACATACCCAGGATATGTTTTCGTTATCTGGTTTAACTAATCCTAACAATCGCGATCGGGATAAACGGCACCACGAAGCTGGATATCAGAAATACGACATGGTCTAAGTAGCACGGCTGCATCTGACACACACAGGGAGACAATCGCAGACAGTGTGAATGCCTAAATGAACACAATATTGTGTTGATTCGATGTGTTCTTATCAGCTGTATGAAAATATCAGCCTTATTCTTTCAGCTCGGATGTTTGTCTGCGTTTTCCACATTAAAAGACTCAGGCACTGAATAAGTGGTTGTTCCACCTCACTTTAAAGAATTCTTGTCACTTCAAAAATTAAATAATTTGATTTAACACTCTCAAAAGTGGTCCTAACATTATCAAAATGAAATTCATAAAGCAATAAAACTTAAAATCCATTCATGCCATGAAATGTGCCCAAATAAGGGTTGAAAGACTGAATCTGAAAATTTAGGCTACTGAAACTCAGCTCATTACCTGCGCCCACATCGCAAAAGGTGGGCAGTAGCCTACATGACCAGTCTCTGTGATAGACTAACTACTAACCTATAATAAATAGCCTACGTTCATATTAAAATTTAGTTACCTGCTTCGGAGCAGGTTAGCCGTTCAGCATAAACTACCATGGAGATCTAGCCCAGTAAGAAGTGAACCACCTTCGTGGTACTGAAAACCCAGAGTTAACCCCGAAGTTACCTGGATAAGCTCAAATCCTGCTTCGTGGTACAGGCCCCTGGTGCAGGCTAGGTGTGTGTGTTAGTGTGGGGCGAAGAGAAGAGAAAGAGAGCAGATTTAAGTAGTAAATAAACACTAAAACAATGTGGAAAATTACTTAGAATAACCTACTGTCAATACAAATACGATATACACTGCTGTTGCACTGTAGATTGGTTCAATCAGTGTGAATTTGCTCTGTAGTTTTGCTTGAATACAGTATACAGCATAACCCAAGAGATTTGACATCACAAGTATGAAAGTTTTCTCAAATAAAGTGATATACAGTGTGCAGCACAAATCAGTAAAACAGACAAACAGAGGTCAGTGTAGGACAGCTAATAAGTTGGTGGGTTAAATAAAGATGAGAAATTGCAGTACAATAGAAAGAATAAAATAATAAAAAGGCACTGTCACTTATTTTAAATAAACATATTTAAAGTCGCTACAGTCTGAATTTAATAACCTGAAGTAATAAAAGCTTTGGAGTAATGATTACTTTTTGTATGTATGATTGCTTTCATTTTATTATATTTCCATGTGTGGATATTAAACTCATGTACAGCCTAGCCTATATTTAGGCAACATCTACATATGTATTAAATTATTACAGCCATTGAATGCACAAAGTTAAATTGGTCAGAATATGGAATAAATATCATGAAATATTGTTAAAAGAAAACAAAATACCCCACATTTCCTTTGACCTGTAGACCACTACTGACCTCAGAATCAGCTGCCCTGCCAAACCTACTTGTCTCTCTCTCCTAAAATATGGTCAGTGAATTGAAGGATATACTAGTACAATATCATTAACAGGGACACTATGACATTTAGCTTTCACTGACAACCACATTCTGTGGGGACCGATAACGTTTTGAAATACTATAGAAATAGGTAATCTTAATGGCGTTCACACGACTTAACTAGTGTTTTCCATAGCCAACTAAAATATCTCCTTTCCTTTACCTCACATAAATATAAAGCAACTTACAGTTTCATTCTGTATCACACACTACTTGAATCAATCTTCCTTCACTCATCTGTGTGTAAAATGCAGGACTGTACTGGCTGACTCTAATGTTGACCATTCGCTCCAGTACATCGGTTAGAATGCAGGTGACAGGACACCAGTATTAATTCTCTGCACTTTATTTAAGGATTGGAGGCACAGCAGAGCACAGGACATTTAAACAGACTGTAATATAGCTTGGTGAATTTGTGTTCCTGTAGGTGGTTCTGCAGAAGTTCAACAAATAAATAATAAAGTTTAAGTCATATGCATGAAAGAATATTCCCCATTCTGTACATGAATGCAATACAGGATTAAAATATTCATAACAGAACAGAGTAAGTAGTTCAAATAGTTCAAGACTATTTTATTAAGTACGTTAGTAATAAGTAAGAACTACTGAAAGGTTATTACAACTGCCACCATAGTAAACAAACCCCAATAATACTTAAAAACACTAGTCATCCATAAGCAGTAAGGTATGTCGTCTTAAACAGACAGAGAAATACATTCACATTAGAAAACATAATCAAAGTGCAACACCTAGTGGTGAAACAGGGACATTAAATGGCGTGTCTATATTACCGTCCAAATACCATTAATATCCATATACTAATTACTCTCACAGCTGAGTTAACTAGCAAAGGTGAAACAAAACATATTGAAACTAATAAGATAACATTTATCTCCACAAAGCCACAGAGGTTGGCAATCAGAAACGATAAGACAATGGGTTATGACATCTGAACATGAAATTGAATTTCAGGACGATATTACGATGTCACTCTTTTACCATGGGTCTATGAGGGTGACAATTATTCAGCACTTACTTGAACATGGACGCACTTGAACACAAATAAGTCCACACCGGATTAATTGGGCCGCACGGTTTGAGGTGTGCAGGTCAGATTGCCAGGCGTGTGTGCTTTGTGTGGATCTGGGAGATTAAATCAATTGCCATCAGAATTCCTGCCTTATGCTGCAGTGGTGACGTCACCATAGAGTCATTCTGCAGTGACAATAAATGGGGTGGCGAGGGCGCAATAGATAAGACACTGCCTTTAGTGTGAGGAACACAGGTTCAATTCCCACTGTGACCCATCCACCATTGTGTCCCTGAGCAAGACACTTAACCCCTAATTACTCCAGAGGTGTGCTGATATACACTGCTCAAAAAATAAAGGGAACACTAAAATAATACATCCTAGATCTGAATGAATGAAATAATCTCATTAAATACTCCTTTCTTTACATAGTTGAATGTGCTGACAACAAAATCACACAAAAATGATCAATGGAAATCAAATTTATCAACCCATGGAGGTCTGGATTTGGAGTCACACTCAAAATCAAAGTGGAAAACACTACAGGCCGATCCAACTTTGATGTAATGTCCTTAAAACAAGTCAAAATGAGGCTCAGTAGTATGTGTGGCCTCCACGTGCCTGTATGACCTCCCTACAACGCCTGGGCTCCTGGTGAGGTGGCGGATGGTCTCCTGAGGGATCTCCTCCCAGACCTGGACTAAAGCATCCGCCAACTCCTGGACAGTCTGTGGTGCAACGTGGCGTTGGTGGATGGAGCGAGACATGATGTCCCAGATGTGCTCAATTGGATTCAGGTCTGGGGAACGGGCGGGCCGGTCCATAGCATCAATGCCTTCCTCTTGCAGGAACTGCTGACACACTCCAGCCACATGAGGTCTAGCATTGTCTTGCATTAGGAGGAACCCAGGGCCAACCGCACCAGCATATGGTCTCACAAGGGGTCTGAGGATCTCATCTCGGTACCTAATGGCAGTCAGGCTACCTCTGGCGAGCACATGGAGGGCTGTGCGGCCCCCCAAAGAAATGCCACCCCACACCATTACTGACCCACCGCCAAACCGGTCACACTGGAGGATGTTGCAGGCAGCAGAATGTTCTCCACGGCGTCTCCAGACTCTGTCACGTCTGTCACATGTGCTCAGAGTGAACCTGCTTTCATCTGTGAAGAGCACAGGGCGCCAGGGGCGAATTTGCCAATCTGGGTGTTCTCTGGCAAATGCCAAATGTCCTGCACGATGTTGGGCTGTAAGCACAACCCCCACCTGTGGACGTCGGGCCCTCGTACCACCCTCATGGAGTCTGTTTCTGACGTTTGAGCAGACACATGCACATTTGCGGCCTGCTGGAGGTCATTTTGCAGGGCTCTGGCAGTGCTCCTCCTGCTCCTCCTTGCACAAAGGCGGAGGTAGCGGTCCTGCTGCTGGGTTGTTGCCCTCCTACGGCCTCCTCCACGTCTCCTGATGTACTGGCCTGTCTCCTGGTAGCGTCTCCATGCTCTGGACACTACGCTGACAGACACAGCAAACCTTCTTGCCACAGCTCGCATTGATGTGCCATCCTGGATGAGCTGCACTAGCTGAGCCACTTGTGTGGGTTGTAGACTCCGTCTCATGCTACCACTAGAGTGAAAGCACCGCCAGCATTCAAAAGTGACCAAAACATCAGCCAGGAAGCATGAAAACTCAGTTATTATTTACTGTGCTTAGCCAGCCCCCAGTAGCTGTGGTGTACTGACCTGAGTTAGCTCCTGTTAGACGCCCCAGGGCTGCTTCTCCCGAGCAGCTTGAAGCCGGGGTGGCTGGGTGACTCTCCGAAAGAGGAATAGTCCTAAGCATAAGTCCACCGTTCACCACCAACCATGTTCACATTTCTTTCAGGTTCTCTGAAGGTTTTTATTAAATGCTGTGATAGTTTTACACCAGATGTACTGGGACGGACAGTTCAAACTTTGTCTTGCCAGTCCACAAAATATTTTCCAAAAAGTCTTGGTGATCATTAGGGACACAGTGGTGGATGGATGGATCCATTGCGACATCAACATCCCTGTAATAACAAGTCTATTTCATAACGACAAGGTAAAAGCGGTCGTCTTATGTACATGTGTTCACTCACACAGACTTCACTTAGTTAAAACGTGGTAGCAGATGTTACAAGTCGCGGTAGATATTTTACAAGCACAGACCAGGTAAAGCAGCATTGAACACACAGGGTGCAGATGTTTGTTTCGGTAGGCTGCGTCATTAAAAAGCCCACAAGCGGCTCACCTGTTGCCGTGATAACGTATTGCATTGGGAAAATACAGAAAAAAAGAGTTCTGTCTCTTTAGGCGACTTTGTAAAACGTATCCTACTGCTGATGGAGAAAGTGGAGTAAACGGGCGGGGGGGAGACAGAGAGAGGCGGGGCAAGCCGGAGTGTTTACCTGAGGTGTAGGCTTTTTGTGTGTCTGTGCGTCTGAGTGTGGCGAGAAGAGAATAAAGAGGAAGGTGTGAAGCATATTTAAAATTTATAATAATAATGTTTGTGCTTATTAAAACCTGCTTTCACGTAGAGGTATTATGTGAAACATTTAGATTTTGTATTTCTTGATATTGCTGTCTGTTGCCTGTCTGAGTGGCTTCAGTCAGTGTTTTTAGAACCTTTGTAAGTCACCTAGTGTGATAAAGTGTACCAAGAGTTTGACACCTGAGTTGCAGAATAACTGCAAGTTTGATTTTGTCCGTTGTATTTTTGTAAGCGTATGGGTGCTGACCTCGTTTTTGTCATTAGTGTATTTTTGAGCCTAAAGCTAAGTACTGTCTTTGGACAAGACCCTCTTTTGTTTCATTTTGTGTATTTGTTATTTGTCAGCACCTGTATGGCCTCTTTTTGTTGTATTTCCTTGTGCAAGCGCACTCTCTTGGTTAATTAAACACTTGACTTTAACCAGATTCCTCCAGTTGCCACATTTCACCTCCTTTCCTATCCCAATTACGTGTTACTGCCTCCCTTAACGAGCCGGCTCGTAACACATCTAAACATTGACAGCAACACGACAGCTGAGGTGCGTCTGTTATTTGTCAGGTGGTGTTCGGTTTTAAACTGTGCTGACATGAAATAAGGCTGCTGTGATTGAACCTCTCTGTCTGTGTGACCTCACAGTTTCCCAGCATACCTCAGCTGTGGAGCTGTATGAGGGGGAGGAGTTTGTCCTGCTGCCCTGTGAGTATCCCACTCCTGACATGGACAAACCCACAGCGGTGTGGAGCCGCAAAGATCTCAATCCTCCAACCGTCCACCAGCGTCAGAAGGAAGGTGATGAACTTACATACCAAAACGAGCTTTACAGCGGCCGAACATCCATGATGACTGACGCTCTGGAAACTGGAGACCTCAGCCTCAACCTGACAAAACTCCAGCTCTCTGACAGCGGCACCTACACCTGCACCGTCAGAGGGTTAGGAAGACCACAGAAAGTGGGAAACATACAGCTGAAGGTCAAAGGTAAGCGACAAACACTAAAACCATAGGTGCAGGTCAGAGGTCAGTTCTATAGTTCACAGACTGCACACACTGCATAGGAAAGAAGAAACCTGAAACCTGTAACTCATCCATCAGGAGTTTACTCTACGGGCCTTTTGCTAACAAAGTCAACCCCACTGCAATAAAGTTAGACACCAATGGGGTCACCAGGATGTTTTGACTGTAGCCCCAAATGTAACTCAACAACAGCAACAAAAATATTTTCCATGTTAATATGCAGTAATCTTCATGACACAGCCGGTCTCGCAGGTCTTCAAAGAGCAGAGGCTACTCGCAATAATATTGATAGAGTTTGAAGTTCACACAACGTGAGCCCTCCCCACCACGTACTCAGACTGCCTGCATTTAGAGAGAGCACGAGAGGAGAGAGAGAGCGCGCATTGCTCACAGCTTCAGGGCTTGTCCGCGACTTAATTTTCCCGAGCAAAATTGTTATCAATACTTTTAAATATAAATGTTGTTGGTCAGTGTCTAGTCAATGTATTAACACAAACGGTTAACAGTTAACAGGAGCCCCAGACCCCCCTATTGAATATTGCTTCAATAAATACTTTTTAACAGAATTCAAATGAATTCAGCTAATTTATCAGTGAAAGTGAAAAGGTGCCACATGCACATTTAGAAAGACTTAAGGTTACTTCAGGCATGCCTGCATGTATGCAGACTCAGCTGGGATTAAATTAAATGAGAAAAGTTGATCTACAGGAGAAACATATCTGACAGCAGAACAGAATGCCTGACAGCCTTACGGCATTATATTACACTATATATATATATTTTTTTAATTGTTCACCAGAATGCAGGAAATTAAGTGTTCAAAGCCCCAAATTTTCAGGGGGAGGACCCCCGGACCCACCTAGTTAATATTCCATCCATCCATCCATCGTCAACCGCTTATCCTGCGCACAGGGTTGCTGGAGCCAATCCCAGCTTACATCGGGCAAAAGGCGGGGTACACTCTGGGCAGGTCGCCAGTCCATCACAGGTGCGGCCACACATAGACAAACAACCTCACATTCCCACCTAAGGACAATTTCAGAGACACCAATTAACCTACCCTGCGTGTCTTTGGATGGTGGGAGGAAGCCAGAGCACCCAGAGAGAACCCACACAGACACGGGGAGAACATGCAAACTCCACACAGAAAGACCTGGAACAACCAAGGTTCGAACCCATGACCTTCTTGCTAGCTTAATATTAGCAGTGTTAATTATTATCAGTAGTAATTTTAAAAATCACAATAAATGTAGGCTATATATATATAATTTACTGTTGCTTTATAGACGTAACTTGGGTAGGCGGCAATGGGGGGTGGGGGGTGAAAACATTTCAAGATTTCTGGGCAGACAGCTGAGGTGCTTCTGTTATTTGTCAGCTGGTGTTGGTTTTAAACTGTGCTGATGTGGTTTCAGAGCAGCTGATCAGCTGCAGCGTCCAATCACAGACAGGACCAGGTTGGTTTCTGGGTCACCTGAGGATCCAGGAGGAATAAGACATGAAATGAGGCTGCTCAGGGATGTGATTTTTCCAGATTAATCCGAAATTCCGGATTTTCCGACCTGAAAATGTGATGCACATGAATCATGCAGATCTGTAATAAAAATTTTAAAAAAGAAGGGGGAAGGGGGTACAGGACCTGGCCGAGTGAAATGGAAAGGATCTAGAGTGACGTGTGTAAAGTTTTCTTCCTTTCTAAGTATCAACAAGGATGTTCGTTTACGCTCCCCAAGTGAAAAAGAAATATACTTAAGTAGCACTTTATTTGGATGCACTTATATACTATATTAAATGTATTATTTTGGAACAACTTTAAGTATGTTAAGTGCCATTTTTGAAATTCTTAAAAGTCAACTTTAAGATAATTGCAATATATTTTAATATACTTAGTTGTGTTAAAATGGACCTATTTTACTGTCATTTAAATATACTTTTAAAAATTAAACTTTTTTGCTATACTTGATGTGTTCCCTGAACATTCTTATTAGCATTTCAGCATATTAGTAATTTATTACTAGTATACTCCAAGAGCCACTATTAATATCTTGGGAAGCTGCATTATGAAACAATTCAGTATGACAATAATGCATTATTGATGCATTAAAAATATCTTTTAGCATAATAATAAAAATCAGTTTTTGAAAAAGTATTTTACAACACACACACAGACAACTAAATAACTTAAATTTTTGTACATTACAAAAATAAATTTCTGTACATTAAAAGGTAGCAGCATGTATTACATCTTGACCAAAATACCTTCAAATAAAAATAAAATCAGTAAAATGATGACATATGATCAGTATTACTGAAAAGTACACTATACACATCCCATCATTAATGTTACCCCTAATGTTACTAATGTTATCCCTCATATGGTTCGGCCTCTGGGCCTGGCTCAGATGACCTCACGGCAAGCCATCCCACTACTGACACAAGATAAAAGCATGAAAACATTGAAAAGACTAAAATACACATTTAAGATAAATATAAAATTAGTAAAATACAATAAAATAAAAGGGATAAAATAAAGTCAAATAAGATCGGGAAAGGCTCTCCTATAAAAGTATGTTTTAAGAAGGGACTTAAAAGAGTTCACTGACTCAGCCGACCTGATTTCCTTGGTAGGCTGTTCCAGAGCCTCGGGGCCCTGACAGCAAACGCTCTGTCCCCTTTAGTTTTCAGTCGAGACTCTGGAACAGACAACAGACCTCTGCCCGAGGATCTCAAGGTACGTGCTGGTGCGTATGGGACTAAAAGGTCAGAAATATAACAAGGCGAGAGGCCATGAAGAGCTTTAAAAGTGATCAATAGAATTTTAAAGTCAATTCTAAAACATACTGGGAGCCAGTGTAATGAAGCTAAAATAGGAGTAATGTGGTCATATTTCTTTGTTCTGGTTAAAAGCCTGGCAGCTGAGTTCTGGACAGTCTGGAGTCGATCAATAGATTTTTGGGTTAAACAGGTGAAAAGGCTGTTGCAATAATCCAGGCGTGATGAGACGAAGGCCTGTAAAATGGTCTCGGTGTCCTTAAAAGTTAACATAGATCGAATTTTAGCTATATTTCTAAGTTGATAAAAACATGATTGAACAAGCTTTGTGGTGTGCTGCTCGAAATTTAAATTACTATCAAACCAAACACCAAGGTTCTTTGCCACAGGCTTAATGTGATTTACTAGGGAACCAGCAGATGGCAGTATTTGATTTGCCATCTGCTGGGACCCGATGACCAGGATTTCTGTTTTGTCTGAGTTCAGCTGGAGGAAATTATTTGACATCCATTTTTTAACTTCACAAAGGCAGTTGTTAAGTGAACTCAGCATTCCAGGGTCTGTGGATCTGAAGGGCAAGTATATTTGTGTGTCATCAGCATAAATATGAAAAGAAATGCCATGTTTATGGATAATATGTCCAAGGGGAAGCAGATACAAGGAAAACAAAATGGGTCCTAAGACCGACCCCTGAGGCACACCATATTTAACAGGACAGAATAAAGAGACATAGTTGTTTACAGACACATAAAACTTCCTATTTGACAGGTAGGATGAAAACCATTCTAGGGCAGTACCAGAGATCCCCACCCAGTGCCTCAGTCTGTCTAACATGATGTTGTGATCAATGGTGTCAAAAGCAGCGCTAAGGTCCAGGAGTACCAGGACTGAGCACATACCTTCATCAGCAGACATTAAAAGGTCATTGGTGACTTTAAGCAGGGCAGTCTCAGTGCTGTGGTACTTCCTAAAACCAGACTGAAACTTATCAAATAATTTGTTATTTTCCAGCACAGTGAGCAGCTGTTTGGACACAATTCTTTCTAGAATCTTTGCAATAAAAGGCAGTTTTGAAATTGGTCTAAAATTATGTGGGAGGGAGGGATCTAAACCAGGTTTCTTTAAAAGTCGGTTCACGCAAGCCGTTTTAAAATAATCAGGGACACAACCAGTAGATAGGGAGCTGTTGAAAACAGAGATCAAATGGGGCCCAACAGAATCTATTACTTTTAGTAAAAACATTGTAGGTATTACATCAAGTGGGCTGGAGGACACTCTCATTTGTGATACTGTTTTTAAAAGCTCAGACAAGTCGATGGGATAAAACTGGTTAAAACTCTCTTGTTGCTGGTGAGGAACCTCTGAGTAAGAGGCCGCAGGGGTAATAGAGGCTCTGATTGACACCACCTTATTGGTAAAATAAGATAAAAACAATTCACAGTCATCATTACTTCCAGCTGGGCACAAGGAGGGGTTGGGTTTACCAGCTGATCCACAGTCTTAAACAGAAACCTGGGATTGTGTTTATGTGTAGTAATGAGTTCAGAAAAATAGTGTGTTCTCGCATCCTTAACCATGTTATTGTAGTTAATTAATAAATCCTTCAGACTGAGGTAATGGACTTGGAGACTGGATTTTTTCCATCTGTGCTCTGCTTTCCTGCATTCCCTTTTTAGGCTGCGAATGCTGTCATTTATCCAGGGTTGCTTACTAGCTTTAGACGTAGGCCTAACCTTTAGAGGAGCAGTAATATTTAGTGACGACAAGCAGATATGTTTGAAGTGATCGACCAGATTGTTGGTGTTGGAATCAGACAGGTGTTGGCTTTGGCTCTGAAAGAATGCGCAAAACTTTGAAACACTTTGTTCATTAAAGATGCGAGAACACACGGAGCTTGGTGAGGCGGCATGAGTAACAGGCGAATCGCAGCTAAAAACAATACATCTGTGGTCAGATATGGTCATGTCCACTAATTCCACAGAGGAAATGCTGACACCCAGGGTAAAAACCAAGTCCAGTGTATGACCACGGTTATGTGTTTGCCCTTTGACATGTTGTTTGAAGTTAAAAGAAGTGGCCATATTTAAAAAGTCAGTTGCATTAACATTGTTTGGGTCATCAACATGAATATTAAAATCACCACAAAGAACAATTCTGTCATAATTTAAAACCAGAATAGATAAAAATTTAGGAAGTTCTGATAAAAATCCTCCAGGAGGTTTTGGGGGGCGATAAATTATAACAAATATGATAGGTTGCAGCCCTCCAACTTTAAGAGTGAGAACTTCAAAGGAGTTAAATTCATCACAGCGTACTTGATGACATTTAAAATTTTTCCTATACACGCTCACTAGCCCACCACCACGACCACTGACCCTCGGTTGACTAAAACAATCATATTGAGGCGGACACAGTTCAGCTAGCTGGATATAGTCATTCATTTGGAACCAGGATTCAACGGATTTAAAAACATAAAATCTAGATTTGCAGACAAGATAAAATCATTTAAGATAAAAGTCTTACTTGAGAGAGATCTCACATTGAAGAGAGCCATTTTAAATGAGTTTGTTCTGAGTGCTGGAGTTGGTGCAGTTGTCCTAATCCTTAAGAGATTACTATTATTTCTGTGTGGAATGTGCACATTTCGGTTTACTGGTCTATGCGTAATGATGACAGGAATAGAAGTCTTTGGAACAGCGCTGGGAGCAGACAGCTTTACATGCCAGCAGGTGGAGACAGTTGTTTGTGGCGGTGAGGCAGAGATCTGTTCAGTGAGCGGTGGTGAGTCCAGGTGTGCTGCATGAATGATTAGTCATTCACGTAAGTCATGTGTGGACCGCACCACATGCTGTATGTGCGCAGCTAACATTTCTGAGCCCCGTTTGTTTGGGTGAAGTCCGTCTGTCTTAAAAAGAGACATTCTTTGTCAGAAAATATTAAAATTATCCACATAACACATACGATGAGCCCTGCAGGCGGACTGGAGCCAGTCGTGGAGGCCAAGGAGTCTACTGAAGCGGCCAGCACCGCGACCAACTGTGGGAATGGGACCAGAGATAAAAACTGACTTTCCACACTGCTTTAAAAAGTTAAAAAGACGGTTAAAATCTAATTTTGTCAGCTCAGACTGCCGAAGAGCTGTGTCATTTGTTCCGACATGGACTATCACTCTTGTGATGGAGGACGGGAGCGACGGCATCAGGTCCTGGAGTTCTTTTAAAATGTCAGCCATGGTGGCACCGAGGAAGCAGTGAGTGGTAGCGTTAAAGAAACGGAGGTTTCTGGTTATGGAGTCACCAATTATTAGTGTGGTTGGGGAGAAAAGAGGACGAGGAGATGCTGGTTGTGTGGTTCCAGAGCAGGACTGAGCAGAATCTGCTTCAACACTGCGTGCGGACTGAGGATGGAGTGTGTGAGCTGCCGAGTGTTGTGTTGGAGTAGCAGTAACAGACCTGAGAGAAGGGCTACCTGACGGTGCAGGGTGGAGACGGCCTCCGGAGCGTCTGAGCACAGCCTCCTTCAGGATCCTACGTCGGGAAGCGGAGGTTTTTGACCGGCGGAGGTTTTTGAAATCCCAGAGGCTGCAGGGCTCGCTGTCTGAACGTGATGCTGTTGAGTTCAGAACTTAATTGGAACAAATCAGGATGAAATCTAAACATATTTTATGAAGTGGTGTGTATTAATATCCTGCTTCTCATCATTAACACTGAGTACAGATGTGTGTAGTCCACATACAGGGTAACCTCGAGTTAACGACGAACAAAACCTGCTCGGAGCAGTTTAGAGATGCGGCGTAATTGCCATGGCAACAGACCTCGGTTTACACCTATCCACCTTTCGTAGTGCGGGTTAACTGAGAAGTTACACCCGACGGCACAAAGTTACTCCTGAAGTTACCTGGATAAGCCAGTTACCTCGTTTCGTACTACAGGCCACTGGTCTTAAACAGGCTGCGACCTTTGCTGCTGTCTCTTATTCATTAAAAATCATCAATTAACTTCAACTGAACTAATTTGAAAGTTAGTAGTTATAGTATTTAGTTATAGACTCAATTATTTCATGTGTCATGTTGCACAGTTAGCTGTTGAGGTTTGGTAAAAATTAATACAAAATAATAATTATTATAGAGAAGTTGCGATGGAGCAGTGGATTAAACCCTTGTCTTTGATTCCCACTGCAACACATCCATTAAATAAATTATTGTCATGGGTCCTGCTTTACCATCCATATTAGAGCCGCCGCCAGTTTAATCGGGGTGACGGGGGGGGTCTGAGTATATTTTCCTGCTTTTTTGCCCTTGGCCTATCACATGCCTGCCTGCTGTGATTGAACCTCTCTGTCTGTGTGACCTCACAGTTTTCCAGCATGCCTCAGCTGTGGAGCTGTATGAGGGGGAGGAGTTTGTCCTGCTGCCCTGTGAGTTTCAGACTTTTGAGATGAACAACCCCACAGTGGTGTGGAGCCGCTACGATCTCAATCCTCCAACCGTCCACCAGCGTCAGCAGGAAGGTGATGAACTTAAAGACCAAAACCAGCTTTACAGCGGCCGAACATCCATGATGACTGACGCTCTGGAAACTGGAGACCTCAGCCTCAACCTGACAAAACTCCAGCTCTCTGACAGCGGCAGCTACACCTGCACTGCCAGAGCAATAGGAGGACAGCGGAGAGTGAGAAATATACAGCTGAAGGTCAAAGGTGAGCAAGAAAACCTAACACCTGCTGTAGATACAGGTCAGAGGTCAAGTTCTTTGTTTCTTGTTCCCACAGAACAATTTCCAACCTGGGCCACAGTTCTCTTGGGTATCCTGGGTGTTGGTGTTGTTGTTACTGCTGCGGGTCTTATGGTACATTTCCGGCGCTACTTCATGTCAGGTATGTCACTACTACTGACTTATCTTTACCCTTGTCACTCCGTGACTGCTGAGACAAACTGCAGCTCTCTTCTTCTATGAACTAAAAGAGTTAAGAGTTGAAAAAAAACTGCAGCAGAAAACTGAAGAGAAACTCCAGAAGTAATTCCAGAGTTCCTTCAAACTCAATTATTCTGAGTAAAAATCAGCTCTTCAATGTAACTTTAGTAAACAGCATGTTGTGTGGTTTACTGCATTTATCTAGACAGAGGTAACATTTCTTATTCTGTGGTTTTAAACAGCAGGCTAAACGCTGCAGTCCTGACAGTCATGAGCAGCAGCTTTAGTAAATGTTCAGTCATCTGGTCGAAAGTGGCTGAGAAACCACTATGTGCACTTTACAGGGTGCTCTGAGTAGTTACCAGGGAAGGAGTGAGGAACCAATCAGGAACAACCTGAGAATGAATCAGTCACTAATACCAGCTGCTGATGACTCTCAGTAGAGGACTGTGTAGAAGTAAATGCTGTGTTTCTGTCCTGACCTCTGGTTTGTCTTTCAGCAGCTTTTTGTGGATTCTCAGTAAAATCTCACCAGCTTCTCGTCACTATGAAGGGATGAAAATTTAGTCAACTCGTGCAGCAGCAGGAAGTGTTCTTTACTGTCAAAATCTGTGACTGTAATACTAGTAGTACGTACTGATTTGGCCTTAATGTAGTATGTATTATGCAGTATGCAAACAAAAGCAAAATCTGCAGTATGCCAAAAATAACCAATCACTAAATCCACTTCTACCAAGTTTTGAGGTGAGAAATCAACTGTGTAGATTTCAAATATCCGCAGTTTTACAAAAATTGTTGTGGAATCGAAAATGTGCTCGAACGGTTTCGGAGTTGAGAAGCTTTCTAAGTGCAGCGGGGAAAGCTAATGACCCTGCCTGTGGGGTTATCTAACAAGCCGACGCAGCAGCCGAGTCCAGCAACAGCGGGTCTCTGCGAGACAGTTTAAATGTTTGTACCGCTGTTATTCTGTCTTAACATTCTGAGTAATGTGATGTAACGTTTTTCTTAAATCAAGAGACATCTGGCTCATGATGGACAGGCTTGTGTAACTTAGAAGCAGTTTGATAAAAAAATAAATAATAGCAGAAGCTTAAAAGGGGACTCTTGTGGGTTTATTATTATCATTCGTGTAATGTTACAGTTGCGTTACAGTACTTGCTTTTTATTAACTTTTATTTTATAGAATTCTTATTTATGCACCAATATACCAAAGCAAACACTTGCTACAGATCGGCTGCAGCCTTGTTGTCCTTACATAAGATTTAAAAACCGGAAAAACTGGCTAAGCCTGGCCTAGCATACTGTAAAATAAATCAATTTAACAGTTTCATACTACAGTAGTATATAGCAGGCGGTTCTGAATACAGCCTCTGTCTTTCTAACAACTCACCTTGTTAGCTGAGTTTGGCTGTTCCTCACCCAGTTGTATTCCTGCTACCTGCTGTCTAAGTTTCCATTGAATGAAGCCTTAGCTTGACACTGTAACTATTCCCCTCATCCATATCAACAGCAATAAACCCAAAGGACCACTCTGTAAAAATGTCTCCATTAACTTAGATACTCTCTGCTTGCCTGACTGTTCCCTAAGATTACTCCCCAAAACTTTCTTGCTAATTAAAGGTGCATTTAGTTAAAAGACAATCATAGCAGTCAAATATAACATGTAATATGAATAATATTTTTGCATTCTAAATTATCCACACATGTTTTATGGGTAAATTTTTTGATAAATCAAACAAGTAATTGCATTATTGTAAAAACATCAACTTTTCCTTCTAGTTCCTTCTACATCGATGAACTGAAATATTGCACGCTATATTTAAATTTATCTGCATTTAGGCTCATGCTAAATGTCTCTGATTCAGTTAATGATTGTTGTAACCTGCATGTTGAGTTGGTGATCATTAGCACCTGTTTGGTATAATTGATTAATCATAAACCTGGTGATATGCTTACAATATCCCTGACTTTGTGCAAGTTTACCTAGAAGAATCAATACTGTTTTGAAGGTAAAGGGTAGTCACATCAAATATAGATTTGATTTAGACAACACTGTCTCTGTTAGATGGAACAATGGGACATATTTCAGAGTTCCTGCTGCTGTCTGTACAGCTGATGTTGTGCTTTGTAGTCCTCTCAGTCTACAAGGTGGAGGTGGATTCAGGGGTGGAGTCTGTCCTGCTGCCCTGCAAAACCACAGCTCACCTGCCTGAAGACGTCACAGTGGAGTGGAGGAACAAAGTCAACTGGAAGGTCCACGTATATAAGAACGGCTCTGACCAGCCTGAAGAACAGGACGGGTTTTACAGAGACCGAACAGAGATGAAGAGAAACCTGCAGAGACCTGGAGACCTCAGTCTGACCCTGAAATATCCCACAGACAGAGACAGTAACACCTACACCTGCACCGTCTACAGAGGGGAGGGAGACATCCTGATGGAGAAACAAGTCCTGCTCAAGGTCAAAGGTCAGTGCTGGAGATACAGGTCAGAGGTCAGTTTTGTAGATAAACATGTTCCAGTTGAAACAAACAAAGGTTTGAATATTATATTACTATTTTCCTTCTAAAGAAGGTTGTTGTGATGAATATTAAACGTTTTCAGAAGTCAGGGTAAAGGCAAGTTTATTTGTGTAGCACATTTCAACAACAAGGCAAATATAAAATAATTAACACACCAAAAACAAGCAGAATGATGTGTGAATTTTTTTTTACTATCTTTATCTTTAAACTATCTGGGTCTGGCACATGTGATATCACCATCTCAACTTGTGAAAAGGTGTGTCAAAAGAGCCTCTTACCAGTAGCTCAGTCAGTAAGTCACCTTCTCTGAGGATCTGAAGTTCCAGGGTTCAAATCAAAGTTGCTTACAATGGTGGCGTTCAGATTAGAGAGCTGCTCTATACAGATCATAATGAATTGAAGTTTTATTTGGATCCCGTGACACTTTCTTCTTATTTTTCTCTCCTAAAAAGTGTTTGTTCAGCTTAAACTTTATAACTTGAAAAACAAAATGTTACAGGTAGGTTAAACATTTCACCCAGTGGTCAAGAACATATAATGACACTCTGATCTCCAGGTGATGCAGCACTTTACAGGGTGCTCTGGGTAGTTGCCATGGAACAAGTGAGGAACCATTCAGGAACAACCTGAGAATGAATCAGTCACTAATACCAGCTGCTGATGCCTCCCAGTGGGGGACTGTGTAGAAGTAAATGCTGCATTTCTGTCATGAGCTCTGGTTTGTCTCTGAGCAGCTTTTTGTGGATTCTCAGTAAAATTTCAGCAGCTTCTCTTTTTTGTAGATTTCTTTAGTCTGTGAACAGCAGGGCCCAGTGAGAGGAGCTGGTTAGCTCCGTGTGCAGCCTGTCGCCTGCAGATCTTCATCCAACAGCTCACTGTAGCTGGTCCTTATTCCATTATTCCCTGCAACATTTCAAAATGAGCCGCTGGCAGAAAATGTCTGAATGGCCGTTGTTCGGTTTTGTAGACACATTTTTGATGAACGATAGCGGTCAGTGCTAATCTTATTCACACACACTCAGCATTTCCTGTAAGTCCTTCATAATTAAAATCAACTGGTGTTTCACCAGTTAAATGCTTTTAATGTGAAGCTGCAGCAGCAGGAAATCTTCACTTTGCATTAGCAGCAACCTAATACTACAGTTTTTCACTTGGTAATACTGCAGATACAGTGGGTACGGAAAGTATTCAGACCCCTTTAAATTTTTCACTCTTTGTTTCATTGCAGCCATTTTCCAAAAATCAAAAAAGTTCATTTTATTTCTCAGTAATGTACACTCAGCACCCCATCTTGACAGAAAAAAACAGAAATGTAGAAATTTTTGCAAATTTATTAAAAAAGAAAAACTGAAATATCACATGGTCATAAGTATTCAGACCCTTTGCTCAGTATTTAGTAGAAGCACCCTTTTGATCTAATACAGCCATGAGTCGTTTTGGGACAGATGCAACAAGTTTTTCACATCTGGATTTGGGTATCCTCTGCCATTCCTCCTTGCAGATCCTCTCCAGTTCTGTCAGGTTGGATGGTAAACGTTGGTGGACAGCCATTTTCAGGTCTCTCCAGAGATGCTCAATTGGGTTTAAGTCAGGGCTCTGGCTGGGCCATTCAAGAACAGCCACGGAGTTATTGTGAAGCCACTCCTTCGTTATTTTAGCGGTGTTCTTAGGGTCATTGTCTTGTTGGAAGGTAAACCTTCGGCCCAGTCTGAGGTCCAGAGCACTCTGGAAAAGGTTTTCGTCCAGGATATCTCTGTACTTGGCCGCATTCATCTTTCCCTCGATTGCAACCGGTCGTCCTGTCCCTGCAGCTGAAAAACCCCCCCACAGCATGATGCTGCCACCACCATGCTTCACTGTTGAGACTGTATTGGACAGGTGATGAGCAGTGCCTGGTTTTCTCCACACATACCGCTTAGAATTAAGGCCAAAAAGTTCTATCTTGGTCTCATCAGACCAGAGGATCTTATTTATCACCATCTTGGAGTCCTTCAGGTGTTTTTTAGCAAACTCCATGCGGGCTTTCATGTGTCTTGCACTGAGGAGAGGCTTCCGTCGGGCCACTCTGCCATAAAGCCCCGACTGGTGGATTGCTGCAGTGATGGTTGACTTACTACAACTTTCTCCCCTCTCCCGACTGCATCTCTGGAGCTCAGCCACAGTGACCTTTGGGTTCTTCTTTACCTCTCTCACCAAGGCTCTTCTCCCCCGATAGCTCAGTTTGGCCGGACGGCCAGCTCTAGGAAGGGTTCTGGTCGTCCCAAACGTCTTCCATTTGAGGATTATGGAGGCCACGGTGCTCTTAGGAACCTTAAGTGCAGCAGAAATTTTTTTGTAACCTTGGCCAGATCTGTGCCTTGCCACAATTCTGTCTCTGAGCTCTTCAGGCAGTTCCTTTGACCTCATGATTCTCATTTGCTCTGACATGCACTGTGAGCTGTAAGGTCTTATATAGACAGGTGTGTGGCTTTCCTAATCAAGTCCAATCAGTATAATCAAACACAGCTGGACTCAAATGAAGGTGTAGAACCATCTCAAGGATGATCAGAAGAAATAGACAGCACCTGAGTTAAATATGAGTGTCACGGCAAAGGGTCTGAATACTTATGACCATGTGATATTTCAGTTTTTCTTTTTTAATACATTTGCAAAAATTTCTACATTTCTGTTTTTTTCTGTCAAGATGGGGTGCTGAGTGTACATTACTGAGAAATAAAATGAACTTTTTTGATTTTTGGTAAATGGCTGCAATGAAACAAAGAGTGAAAAATTTAAAGGGGTCTGAATACTTTCCGTACCCACTGTATGTAAATACTGCAGTACTTTGATCAGTGGGCCACAGGCTCAGTCAGCACTGTGTTACCTCATTAGACGATAGACAGTGACTGAAGAGACATTTATTTCAATGAAAACCTTCAGATTCTAACTTTAATAAAGATTTGATTGAGTCCATCTGACAATAATACTCAGTGATTTAATAAACAGTCAGTTGTGCTGTTGATTGTAGAGACACCAAAGACAACACTGTCTCTGTTAGATGGAACAATGGGACATATTTCAGAGTTCCTGCTGCTGTCTGTACAGCTGATGTTGTGCTTTGTTGTCCTCTCAGTCTACCAGGTGGAGGTGGATTCAGGGGTGGAGTCTGTCCTGCTGCCCTGCAAAACCACAGTTCACCTGCCTAAAGACGTCACAGTGGAGTGGACAGCTAGAGATGACAGGAAGGTCCACGTATATAAGAACGGCTCTGAGCAGCCTGAAGAACAGTTCAGTCTTTACAGAGGCCGAACTGGCATGAAGAGAAACCTACAGAGATCTGGAGACCTCAGTCTGACCCTGAAATACCCCAAAGGCAGAGACAGTAACATCTACACCTGCACCGTCTACAGCAGGGAGAGAGACATCCTGATGAAGAAACAAGTGAAGCTCTGGGTCAGAGGTCAGTGCTGTAGATAGAGGTCAGAGGTCAGAGCTGTAGATGCAGGTTAGAGGTCAGAGGTAATGTTCTTTGTGTTTCCTGTTCCCACAGAACGATTTCCATTGTGGGCCAAAGTTCTCCTGCCTTTCCTGCTTCTCCTGGCTGTTGGTCTTTTTGTTGCAGGGTGTGTTTTGGTGCATTTTCGTCACTATTACACGTTAGGTATGTTACTACTACACTTCCCATCATGCCAATGGTTGTCTTCCTTACCCTTGTCATTCTTTATAGCTGAGGTCACTTAATTCTTACAGAAACTAAAATAGTTTTTTGTTAAAAACAACCCTGTAGAACAGACACATTAGTTCTTTGTTGTTTCTGTGCTGATGTGTGTAAAACATGGCTGACTGTGGAGGCTGAATCACTGTTCTTCAGAACACATGTTCACAGCACTTTACAGTGCGGTTTGAGTGCTTACTAAGGGTAATGATTCACCAAATCCATTGTTTGGTTCAGATCCAGGCAGGCATGATCACTCAATCATTACTGGACCAAAATACTCAAGTGACACATGCAGTTGGAAGACAAAAAAATAGGTTTACAGTACAATATTTACAAAATATAGGCCTACAGCTCGCACTAACTTTAAATACAGTGTTTCAAGATACAGTTCACTTGGCCGGGCCATCCAGGTATAATAACAGCAGCCTAGGTTGTTTTTAGCGACCAATTTCAGCATTTTGCAGAGAAACACAGAGAGATGCTATCTGGTGTTAAGTTACAAGACATGGACCACGTTGGTTAAATCCACATACGGCACACTTGAAACAGAATGATGAGTTTATTATTCACAGTGACTTTCTGAAACCACTACTGATGGAGTCTGGGGAGCAGGGAGGGACAGAACCGCGTCACACCCGCTCCCGCAACACAAAAGCTCACTGTGGCTGCTCCTGACTCTTCCATCACTCCCTGCAACATTTCAAACTGAGCCGCTGGCAGAAAATGTTAAAATGGCCGTTGTCTTGTTTTGTAGACACGTTGTTGAATGAATGAATGATAACGGTCAGTGCTAATCTTACTGACAAAAAGCATTTCCTGTGACTACAATAAAAAGTAAAAGTCAACTGGTGTTTCCCCAGTTAGATGCTTTTAATGTGAAGCTGCAGCAGCAGGAAATGTTTACTTTGCATTAGCTGCAACTTAATATTGCAGTTTTTCACTTGGTAATACTGCAGATATGTAAATACTGCAGTACTTTGATCAGTGGGCCACAGGCTCAGTCAGCACTGTGTTACCTCATTAGACGATAGATAGTGACTGAACAGACATTTAATGAAAACCTTCAGATTCTAACTTTAATAAAGATTTGATTGAGTCCATCTGACAATAATACTCAGTCATTTAAAGGTTCAGTGTGAAAGTTTCATTGCCATCTAGTGATAAGGGTTGCGTATTGCAACCAGTGGGTCACAGTGCATTCTCGTGTCCTTGGATGGTCCCAATTTCCCGAGTTGCGATGTTGTTCTTCAGACATCAGTGTGTGTTTATATTAGAGCCCGACCGATTTATCGGCTGGCCGATATTATCTGTCAATATGAGCTAATTGCATTTAATCGGCATCAGCCATTTTATAACAGCAGATATGTGACTATTAAAAAAGAAACAGAGAGTCAGATCCTTCACTCATGTCATGGGTGTTGCATAGTTTGCCCACCAGAAGGCCATCAGCTGAAGCTCCCCAGTTAACTACACTGCCTCACCACAAAAAACACAGAAGAAAACAATCAGCTGACCGGATCTTACCCACAGTAGAAACCAAACACGCAGAGGGCTGTGTTAGCGGTGAATCGGTATGTTGTTACGTTACTTACATGACTTTATAATTATAATAAAAACAGACCCAATCACTAAAATGAAATCTCAAAGTTGCAGGTCCTCGTTGTAGACAGTCATATAGTATTGGATACATTCAACAGCAGCTCACTGCCTCATAGACGGCATGATTTAGACCGATGATGAGACATAGTTTCAAGTAGCTTTCGTTAGCATTAAAGAGTGCTGGTAAAGGGATGAACTACATGTGAATATGCTACATGGAAATTATGGCATATTATGTGTAAAGTGAAATACACATGCTTATTCTCTGTTTACAGATTGCTGAAAAAGTTGCACCTTCACGCAGCAAAAATTTATTGATGTGCAATTGTTTACATGTTCATTTTGTGGGACAGTAATCTATTTTATTAACATAATCCATTTAGAAAAATGTTCAGTAACACTTTCTATGAAGGTCATCGCTATAATGACTTATTCGTATATTTATAACACGATATAATGTGTCCATAAGACATTATAACAGTAATCACTTACAAACATGCATTAGGCGCTATAGCAAAGTTCATCAACCTTTTGATTTAATGTTTTATAACTAATAGTAATACCAGTTTATGTCAATGTGCACCAACAATCTCCGACCATGTTCCATATCACATTATAACCACCGACTCTGCCTAGTTATAAATACACTTTAGTCACCATTTACAATTATTGATATAAAATGGTATAATAGCTTATAGTAATGTTTAAAGTTAGATAGTATGTCTTTGTTTGCTTTAAGTGTTGAAATATCTATCCCTGTATAATATATTACAAGTGGACATAATACCATATGAACTAATTATAAGACCTTATAATATATGAACTTTGCTATAGCGGCTAATGCATGTTTGTAAGTGATTATAACAACTGTTATAATGTCTTATGGACGCATTATATCGTGTTATAAATATATGCATAAGTCATTATAGCGATGATCTTCATAGAAAGTGTTACCAAATAGTCTTACCTGATTTTATTTAACATATGATTAACACTACATAAAAAACTGTTAAATAAATTAAAATCATATCCTGCATTCATGAAAACATCATTAAAAAGGTTACAAACGTTAAAGTTGTTTTGTATGACTTGAAATAATGTACAGTTATTACACTTCAGTAAATGAAATAATGTGTTAGTGACAGGAACCTATGGATAGGAAGCCAGTGTTAAATAAGTAGTGTTCATACACTGTGGGATAAGGTTTTGTGGAGTAAAAATAAAAACAATGGTTCAGCAAAGCAGTAAGGTGCTGTCAGGGAGAGAGCCAGCCACAATGGAAGGTGGGACTTTTATATCCTGTAGCGCTCTGGCAGCAACACCTCAAAATATCTAGATAACGTCTATATTTTCAATGTCATATCAGTGGTCTAAAGTCTAGTTTATGCTGTGTGACCATAAACTACCGCAGTCACAGAAAACTAGTTTTGCCGGATATCATAGTACAATGTGTTAAACATGAGTCGCTAACCTTAGCCTAGCTAGTCATGTCTGAGTGAACAAATGCACTGCCAGTCAAGCTTCATGCCAAGCTAACGTTAGCTAACTGTTATACATATCATTCTAAAAAAGGAGAATCTCTTATTTAGACCGTTTTTGACTCGAAAAACTTTTCAACTTGCAAAACTGCAAAATTTATTAACTTGCAAAACGTTCTGACTCACAAGGAAAACTTTTTGACACAAAGAAGGCCTGTTTATTTTTTCATTACAAACATGATTTTTGATTGCAGTGCGATAAATATGATATAATACGGGTTTTTTTGTTGCTTGCATTAAAAAGACACAAAAATACCTTCATATACATGTAAGGGGACCCGCGGTGTATGGAGATAGAAATGACAGGTTTCTGAGGTAATAAAAACATAACAGTTCATTATGTAAGGTCTTTATATACCACTGAAAACATAGTTATGGATATTGAATTGCATTTCTGTCAATAGATCCTCAGAAATATAACAAACTGGGTCTTTAATAAACAGTCAGTTGTGCTGTTGATTGTAGAGACACCAAAGACAACACTGTCTCTGTTAGATGGAACAATGGGACATATTTCAGAGTCCCTGCTGCTGTCTGTACAGCTGATGTTGTGCTTTGTTGTCCTCTCAGTCTACCAGGTAAAGGTAAAGATCTGAGGTTAAACGTCATCATCTTTATGTTCATGTATATTTTCTGTTTCCCACAGGACAACTTATTTCCTGGTACCTGTTTTCCGGGGTTCCCCTGGTTGGTGGTCTTTTTGTTGCCAGAACGCTTGTCATAAATTATTGGCACTATTTCATGTCAGGTATGTAACAACTACAATACTTCCTATCATGTAAATGGTTATCATTCTTACCCTTGAAGCTGCTCGCCTGCTTAGGCAGACTGCCGTTCACTTCTTTCAGAAACTAAGAGTTAAAAACAACTGCTGCAGAGGTCAGTGCTGAAGATACAGGTTAAAGGTCAGAGGTCATGTTCTTTATGTTTCTGGTTCCTACAGAACATTTTCCATACTGGTGCAAAGTTCTCCTGGTTCATCTGGTTCTTTCGGCTCTCCTGTATCTCCTGGTACTTGGTGTTGGAGGTCTGCACCTTTCTGAAAATCTCGAGTATGGGAACCTGTCAGGTATGTCACTACTACTACATTACCCATCAAGCCAATGGTTAGCATCTTTACCTTTGTCGCTCTTTGATTGCTGAGTTTGCTAACTTCTTCCAGAAACCAAAAGAGTTGAGAGTTAAAAACAACTGCTGCAGAGAGCTGAAGACAAACTTCCAAGTTCTGTTCTAGAAGTTAATTATTGAAAATAAAGAAAATGTGCCAATGAATGGCCCATAAAGCAGGGACAGGCAGCGGCCCACTGGTTTCAAGTCTATACTGAAACTGGCCCTCTGTTTCTTGTGTCAAACGCCCGGGTTCAAAAATGTGCCAAAATAAATGATGTGTTTGCTACCGGGCTGTAGCTTCAACATCAGCTGCAGGACTTGACAATGTGCAGCCACAGTCACTTGAAGGAGGAAAGGATTGCCGTGGCCACTGCCAGGCAGAGGAGGAGACATATGACAGGGAAGCAGAGGGACATAGTGAGCAGGAGGAGAGTGGAGGTGACGTGGAAATCATAGCTGAATAGGGACCTGTAGGGAAGGAGCAGGAAGGTAGGGTGTGTGCCGTGCCATAATGATGATGATTATGAGTACTTTAATTAAGGCAGATGATAAGTGAGACCGTCACTTAATTCTGGTCATCTTTCTGTTAGTCAATGTTAAATAGCGTAGCAATAAGCTATGTGACATTGTTTTTGTAGCTAAAGTTGCATAGCCAACTGTCCTTATGGCTGACTAGGTGATGTCAGCAACACGTTGGCTAAGCCCACTCTGCCAACCTAGGTCCCTATGTATCATGATCAAGTTACACTGAACATAATTATAAACCCAACACTTTTGTTTTTGCCCCCATTCATCATGAGCTGAACTCAAAGATCTAAGACTTTCTCTATGTACACAAAAGGCCTATTTCTCTCAAATATTGTTCACAAATCTGTCACAATCTGTATTAGTGAGCACTTCTCCTTTGCACAGATAATCTATCCACCTCACAGGTGTGGCATATCAAGATGCTGATCAGACAGCATGGATATCGCACAGGTGTGCCTTAGACTGGCCACTCAGAATAGGGGCTCCCTTGATAAAGTTATGACTGTACAAAATAGGCCTAATAAACAACCCTTTTAGCATAATGTGCTAAAATGGATGAATGTTTATGTAACATGAAAACCATTTTAATTTACAGACAACAAAGTTGTTTTGTGTTTACTCTCATCTGCTGCATGCAATACTTGAATAAACTGCTTTGACAGGGAATTTTAACAATTCTGGACCTAATAATAATTTGATATGATACTGTGTCTTCTAGCAGCATTTTCTTACCGTTGAAAATTACTTTTACTTGTACTTGAGTATGAGTTGTGACTCCATGACCAATTCTGATCACCAGGGAGTCAGTAAATTAGTGCAATGAGTACACTGGTCCACTTCACATAGCACTTCACATAGCACTTCAGCTTCATAGCGGTTTGGAGGAATATTACAGTAGGTATACATATTTAAGAGGACTGCAAGGATGATGTATTGGTGAGGGAATGTCTGACCGATTGTGGTGGGCCGCCTGGCCCCAAACTGTATTGGCCGATGTTTTGAGCCACTCTAGACGTGACAGAAACCATTAGTTCCTGTACCTCGTATTTTGGCAATAACACATTTTTCTATCCTTACTCAGCCTCTGAGTTCATGCAGGAGACGTAGCAACCAAGACCTGTCTGTCTCCCTTGCTATACACTGATTTGCTAATATGTGTCACATGGCGCCTTTCCACTGCATGGTACCAGCTCGAATATCCTACAACACTCTCCTCGTCTTTTTGGGTTTTCCATCGGAGAAAAGTTGTACCTGTACCTGCCAAATGGTACTTTTTATCGTATCACCTCTGTCGAGGTTCCAAGCGAGCTGAGTGCTCTGGTCCCACAGTCACTTAGACCACTGCAGCCAACGCAGCAGAGACTCCAGCAACGACAGAGGAAAACACAGCTGTAAGATTCTTGTGAGCTTATCTGTCTTTAGATTCTGAGTACTGTTAAAGCGTTTTAACTTAAATCAAGAGACAGCCGGTGTGTGTGGTTTACTTGTGCGTGTCGCGTTGAACATTATGTTGCAGCAGTTTCGTGTGGTGTTTATTACGACAACGAGCTACATCGAGGCATACTATCTGCATGGAAAACAGAGGACAGTGGGTCAAAAGTGAGTCGGGGTGAGTTGAGCTGGTACCAGCAATGGAAAAGTGCCAGTATGTATTACGTTATTACATATTGTACATATGATGGAGGTCAGAGGTCATGTTCTTTTTGTTTCTGGTTCCCAAATAACCGATTTTCATCTTTGGCCACAGTTTTCCTGGCTATCGTGGGTCTTCTGTTTGCCCTTTTACTCCTGGTTTGCGGAGGTTTCATTGCTAGGACTTTTTTGAAAGATCTTCTGCGCTACTTCATGTCAGGTATGTCACTACCACACATCCCATCATGCCAATGGTTATCATCTTTACCCTTATCGCTTTGTGACTGCTGAGACTGATTGCCTCTTCTTCTAGAAACTAAGAATTGAGAGTTAAAAACATCTGCTGTAGCTCTCCAACATAAGTGTGGTTCACTGCATTTATTTGGACAGAGAGGGAACATTTTTTCTTCTGTGGTATTAAACAGCAGGCTAAACGCTGCAGGCTTGACAGCTTTAGTAAGTGTTGTGCTCAGTCATCTGGTCGACTGCTGCTCAGAGCAGGCACATTAGTTTTTTATTGTTTCTGTGCTAATGTGTGTGAAACATGGCTGATTGTGGAGGATCAATCACTATCTGTTCTTCATCAAACATGTCTGTAGCTCTTTACAGGGCACTCCTTAGTCTGTGAACAGCAGGGCCCGGTGAGAGGAGTTGGTTAGCTGGTCCAGGGTGTTTTGTGAGTTTTTGTGCATTCAGCATCACTGATGCACTTTATCAGCTTACAGTCCCAAACAGAGGAAGGTTGGCTTCAGTTTTTAGATGTTTATATTGCAAAACTCTACCAGCTACGTTACCACTCGGTCACAAACGGGCTGCGACTCACAATGCAAAAACAGAGCAGGTGTGCTGCACACTTACACCTGACACCACAATGCTCTCACTTACAATCCTCCCCCTTCAATAAGCCTGAATAGAAACCTCTTGGCTGAAAAGACTGGGGGCCAATCTGCTGGGTAATGTGGTGGAGCAGCAACTGTTCCATCAGGGTCTGAGCTGCTTGTATCAGATGCTGGCTGTTCATCTCTGGCTGTGCGCGTACAGGCTGAGGCTGGATGTGGATTTATTGTGATCGTACTGGCTGATGACACATCTACGTTACTGACGAACTTAAGCATTGCCACTCTAAATTATAGATATTTTCTATAAATTAATGTTATCAGCTGATTTGGCCAAATATGTGATGCTTATTATTTACTAAGATGTGCATCCATATTGCCCTGTTTTATCAACATTGACATATTCAATGTCAATTCATTGCTTTCTCTCTTGTATTAGTCCAGAGTTGTAACTTAACCTTAACTGAGAGAAAGATGACTGTCTTATCTAATAATAATAACTATTTCAAAATGATGTGCGCCTATGAGGAGTGCTATCACATCATCTGGTCCCACAGATGTTTCATGCTGGAATGTGCAAGTTTCATTTGTGCATGAGCGCATTTAGAAGCACAACACGTTTATCTTTTCCAGGTTACAGGGTACACATAAATACTCACTTTCACCTTGGACAGGAAAGTTTTACATTTGTTTTTCAATGTTGCTCGACTCGTGTGCGCTGCATGCTTTTCTTTCTTTTCATGCTAATAATGATGTAATGAGATCTCGTGCAGAATGTAACTGAGTGAAATGTCGTCACTTGGCTTAGAAATGTAGCAAAGTGAAAGTTGCATAACCCTAAAATGATCACTGAATGAAAAAAATTGTATTCTTACGAAAATGAGGTAGTACTTAATGGCTACAAGGTAATTAAAACATGGTATCTAATGGAAATTAGATACTACCTCCTTCCCACGTTTTAATTACCTTGTGCCCCTTTGTCCGGAGTGCTGAAACGGAGCAGGGATCAAAAGCTAACTAACTCATAATGGTTCACTGTCTTAGCCTGCTTGCTTTTCAATATAACTGTCATTAATTCCTTTTCCACCCATGTAGGGGGGGGGGGGGGGGAGACTAAACACCTCCCCTGCTGATTTTAAGTGATCATTGTGAATGCTCTGTTTAATGCTAGCCTACACACAGAACTTAGCAGATGATTAAATGTACTGTAAATAAGGTAACATTTAAAATAAAAGTAATCTACAGTAATTTATATAGGTCTATACATAGGCAACAGATGTCCCCAGTTTATTTTTATTTGCTCTTTGGTGAATGTAAACCGCAGTAACAAGATGAAAACACCACCATCATAAAAAGTCTGTTTGGGAAACAGTGTCTATTGACAGCCTTTTAGCACCAAACATCAGCGATGTTGATAGTCAGCCTGTTTCCTTTCAATATAACTGTCAGACCTAATACCTTTCCCACCCATTGTAGTAGCGTGAGAGAGAGAGAGAAGGGGGGGGGGAGAGTGAACTAGAGAAATAGCTGTTTTTGTTGCCTCCCACTGATTTTAGGTGAACGTAAACAGCAGCAACAAGATAACGTGGTTATCTTCCTCACATAGAAAGTCCAGGCGCACTGCCAGCTCGGAAAAGATGCATGGACTGCTTGATCCAGGATGTTGATAAGCAGGTCTCTGTAAAGATTTGGGCACAGCAGTCTCTGATTTTCATTTCTTGGCCAGCCTTAGTCCCATTTTGTCCAGAGGTTAAGGAGCGGCTTTATGTCCAAGCTGGGCCAACATAACTCTGATCCTGCTCTCTTTCCTCTCTTTCCGCTGCCATTGCCATAGGATAACTCACTCCTAAAGTAAAATTAAAGTTAATCAAATACTCTCTATCCATAGCTGTTACCCAAGGAGTGCTTTAGGCCGGTGGCAGCTGGAGCAGCTCTCTGCAGTCTCTGCTTTAGGGAGAAATGTGGCTCCATTGTGCTGACGCTTTTTATATGCTCTTAACTCGTGGCCACGAGGTAATTTAAACGCGGGATGCTTTACTACCTCGTTCCCATGTTTTAATTAAAATTTTTATTTTTTTCATTCAGTAATCTTGTATTAATTTGTACTTCTTTACTTTCCACCACTGCTGAACAGATTCTAACTTTAATAAAGATTTGATTGAGTCCATCTGACAATAATACTCAGTGATTTAATAAACAGTCAGTTGTGCTGTTGATTGTAGAGACACCAAAGACAACACTGTCTCTGTTAGATGGAACAATGGGACATATTTCAGAGTTCCTGCTGCTGTCTGTACAGCTGATGTTGTGCTTTGTAGTCCTCGTAGTCTACAAGGTGGAGGTGGATTCAGGGGTGGAGTCTGTCCTGCTGCCCTGCAAAACCACAGTTTATCTGCCTGAAGACGGCACAGTGGAGTGGAGGGACAGTTACAACAAGAAGGTCCACGTATATAAGAACGGCTCTGACCAGCTTGACCAACAGGACTGGGCTTACAGAGGCCGAACAGAGATGAAGGAAGACCTGCTGAGAACTGGAGACCTCAGTCTGACCCTGAAATACCCCACAGACAGAGACGGAGGACGATACTGGTGCACCATCGACCGGCGCATCAGCAGCATCTACTGGCACGGTATCGACCGGCGCATCATGAGAGTGAAAACAGTTGATCTCAGGGTCAAAGGTCAGTATGCAGACTGAGGTCAGAGTCTCTGTGTTTGTTTCTGTCTGACTGTCCTCTGTCTCCTCTGCAGAGAGAAGCAGGAACAGAAGCAGCTCCACTGATCCAACTCCTCTGATGGCCGATCAATCTGTTTGATCTTTGATCATTGATCCGATCTGACTCTGGATCAGAGAGAAAATGGAGGTGAAGCAGCTGATGGAGGACAGATGAAGACAGGAGGACACTTTGTCAGCTTCCTCTTCACTCTGACTCCTCCTACTGACTCTCACACACAGTCTACACACTCACTATTGATTCCTGTTGACCTCACAGGCAGCATGTTGTCTCTGGGTCATTCTGCTTCCTCCATCATCCAGGATGTTCCCCTCACTTTCACAGGTGGAGCAGAGAGGAGCCCCAGCTGGATCCTATGAGGACGTCTGTTACGGGGCAGAAACAGGCTGCTTGTTGATTGGTCGGCCGATCTGACGGACAGTAAAAGTGTAAATTCTAATATTAATATTCCTCCAGAAGTGTAAAAGGCAATAACAGCAGCAGCAGAGGCTCTGAACGTCTTCATGATGATTCAGCAAATGAAAATGATTCCATGTGTGGAATCCAAATCAGAAATGAATCCTAAATACTCTGTCCCTCTGTCTGCTTCCTCTTCTTCAGCCAAAAGACTTCTCTCTTCTTCCTCTTGTTGTTCCAGCTTCATCTCGGCTCCTTCAGGAGAGCTGAGCTCCAAATGTCTGTCTTCTTCATTCTCTAATCTCAGTCTGCTGTCACACTTTACAAACAAACCACAGGTCTGATCTGCAACATTTCTCTCCATCTTTATTGCTCCCTCACATCTGGGGCCTGAATCCTGAAGCAGGTTTAACTGAGTCTGGGTCTCTCTGGTTGATCTGGTCTCACTGAGTCTAACAATGGCCGTCCAGCATAACCAGTATCATGAAGCTGCTTATGGACTGGCTCTGTTAACTCTGGGTTTTCCATCCAGCTCCGAGTGTGTTGATGTGAAACAGGACGAGTTGTTGGTTCCAACATCATCATCACAACCATGAAGGAAAAGCTTCATCTGAGACCTGCTGAATATTTATTAGACAGATTATTGGACAGATGCTGCAGGAAGCTTTCAGCTGGCAGGAGACACAAGACTTTAAAACATAGAAACAGGACTCTGAGACTAGATCCAGGTCCACACAGGTCCAGTAAAGACACTAGTTATAGTCCAGTGAAGCCAACAAGGTGTTAGTGACTGTATATACATGTCAGTCTTTTCTCTAAATGTGGAAATGTTGGATTTCACACTTTGTCCTTTTTTATACAAAAAGAAAGAAATCAGATGCGACAGATTACCGTTTCTGTTCAGTTAGTTACTAAAACTACAGAGGAAACCAGTCGCGGCTCAATAGGACCTGAAGTCAGGAGAAAATGTTTCCTGCTGTTGAACTGTGAATATTATTGAAGAGTATAGTCTTTCAGAGCTGAAGGAAGAGCAGGAAATATTCTAACCATCGTTACTAAAGATCAGGGTGGAGATCTGTGGGCAGAGCAGATTATTGCTGCAAACAGATGAACAATAAACCCGTCCAGCAAATTGTAATAGAAAAGCTGTGGAGAAAAAAAAAAAAAAAAAAAAAAAAAACAGTCTTGCCATTCTTTAAGATACATTTGGTTTTAGCTGAAAGTTAAAAAGGTGTCTCTCTCATCTTACAACTTCCTTTCAATGAGTTTAAAACCCTTTAAAAAAAAACAAAAAAACTTACAAACGACTTATGGCAAAGCAGCAACGATAAACTGTTTTCTTCAGTTTAGATCAGACTTCTGACGACTTAACACTTAATTGTTTGTTTTTTAACTCAACTTCATCTTCAACTCCATTTTTCTTCTTTAATTCAGCCCAGACACCCAGTCACATGTTCAAGCTTAGGACTGCATTTTTTGGTTTATATAACATGTTCGGCTGTGCTACGTGCGACTCTTCATTAGTTTAGTGTAAGACAATGGCAAATAAATCATTTGAATTGAATGGTTCAGACATTTGGCAGTATTGTACTCTGAGGCTGTACTCATTCTTCTAGCAAAACGTCACTGAAAAGGCATTGGAAAAGTGAGTATACAGTTAAACATCCTGCTTTGCTAGGAGACGAGATTAGGCTTTGATTTTGTGAAAAATTCTATCTAAATAGCCTAAACCTAAAAAGAATCACCAGCTTGTGACTGTTTTTTTGAGAAAAATTTCTTTTTAAGAACACTAGGCCTCCATATTTGTTGTCACTCTTGGTAAGGTAACATTTTACAGTTTTATTTTGTCTGTGTTGGGATAAATATGGACTGAAATAGACGTCCATCTTCCACAACTGTTTGTGTCCTAAATGATGACCAATACTGACAGCGGAACCGACAATGTCTGAAGAAATTCACAAATAAAAAAAACTTGCTACAAACAGGTGTCTTTGTGATATTTATTAAAGAATAACAGAGTGATTCAGCTGAAGGGCAGAGCTCATACACCAGAGGGCTGTTAGAGAGTCTGACCCAGAGAAACAGAGAAGACATTTAATGCTAGAGAATAATTGTGGAGTCCAACAGAAAAGCCTTTCTCAGCCTTGAACCACAGTGGAAACTCCTGATGCCATTACAGTTCCACCTTTGGGCTACCTATGGTCACATGAAGTAAATAAACTGACAGTAATAAATAAACTGCTAATACATCAATGGTCATTAGATATGACAGTGCTTCCCCACCCATTGTTTTGGGGGGGGCGGTCTGTCCCTCTGAAAGAATGACAAAAAAAAAAAAGGACAATTAGGCTATATTCCAAAAAATGGACACATGAGATAAAGCCGTTGCCTGGTTGCCTCAAAAGTTCAATTAATTTGAACTTTAGATGTGCAACGTTGTTCTGGTGTTTACAGATGCTGCTACTTTCCCTCTCTGTGTCAGATTAGAGTTTGAATTGTAACCTGCTTCCTGAATATAATTAAACTTGATCTTAAAATCTCGGCCTCGTGAACCCAATTTCTTTGTCAAAAGTGGTTGGATTGAGGGCAATGGGAGAAGAGGCAAGAGGCAATACATAGCTTAGCTCTAAAACTAAAGGTTTAGCATGATGCTGTGTGATTGCTTTTGTGTCTATTAATTCAATTCAATTTTATTTATATAGCACCAAATCACAACAACAGTTATCGCACAGTGCTTTTCATAAAGAGCAGGTCTAGACCGAACTCTGTGATGTTATTTACAGAAGCCCAACAGTTCCCACCAAGAGCAGCACTAGGCGACAGAGGCAAGGAAAAACTTCCTTTATTAAGAGAACAAATGTTGGTAAAAGTTTTCCCACACTGGTCACAGCTGTATGGTTTCTCACCAGTGTGAACTCTCTGATGAGTCTTTAAATGATAAGATCTTCTGAAGGATTTGTCACAGCGCTGACAGCAGTGACGTTTGAATCCATCTATTCCTCTCTGCTTCTATAGCTACAGACAGACATGCAGAAAGAAAGACCGTGAGTGAGATGTCATAGTGGAGCGAGTTATGTTGAACCATAAATGACATTTAGAGCATGTCTGTGGAAAATAATACACAATGTTAAAGTTTGACTAATGCATTACCAACTGTGACAACCAAATGTAGGGTTGTGTCCACAGGAGGGACCTGGGGTGACTCAGACCTCTCTAAGAATCTGATTGATTACCACAGATACTGACATTTCTTATTAATTGAGACACATCACATTATGGGAAATATACAGCCCCATGTTTTTGAAGCTTGATCCATGTTTATTATCTTGTGCATACAAGATAATAATGTTATGGGACTTCAGGGGCCCCGTAGGATGGTGTCCTGATTTGGAAAGAAACTGACGGTATGTATTGGACCAGTCTACCTCGTGGTCTGTGCAAAGCGCTGGAACGATCATAACCGGTAATAATGGCGGATAACAACCATCCTTTACAAGTGATGGGCAGAGACGAATATAAATTTAAGTGCCGCTACTAACATTTTTATTTACAATGTAATCTTGTGTAAGTGAACAATTCACAATTGTGACTGTTATGGCAGAAAACTGTGTGCTCTTATATTTAATTGTGCATGTATGATCTTTTAATATTATCATATGTCATCATATGTATTGTGTTTTATCTTTAACCTTTCCTCTCCTATACTCCTTATGTTAGTCTGTCCACATTTACTAGGTCAGAGCTGTGAGATTGTTTTGGTGTTCTCCCCCTCTTGTTGTTCCTCTCATGAAATGTTCATTCAAGGCCTGGAGAGGATCTCTGTTCCCCAAAACACAGAAACCTAGACTGTGTAAATGATGATGCATCCCTTTGCACGGGGCCAGACGCCTGAAGCCGCCCTAGGCAGCAGGTCTCTGGACCAGCTGTATATGTGAGTTTTAGTACTTCTCTGTTTATTCTCTATTGTTAAATAAATTCTTCAAAGACAACGACTGGTTGTAACTCAATTCTTTGCTCAACCCCTCACCAGGGTTATCATTTCCACGACAGTGACCAGGTTACAGCTTATCTATAACAAACGTATATAGTACTATCGTAACAAATGCATAACGTTTATGCTAAATCTGCTAAGCTAATGTTTAATGTTGTGATGGAAGACAGCAGCACACATCATACATAACTCAAATCTAGCGTTATCTCAGTTGTTTTTGTTATTAGGGCCAGGTGAGGACACAGATGCCCTGATCCAATGGCGAACTGCCAACGAAGCCACCTTTAGAGGCGGAATGCAGCACAGAAGGGATTCGAGTAAGTTAACGTCATATTTTTAATAAGTTACTTAACCAGGATTGCTCGCTAGGTAGAAATTTAAAGTATTATTATAACGTTACAGATCTTCGTGTTTTCATGAAAATAATTTTATTGCTGCTTTTATTACAGCTGCGGATCAGCTGGCCTGACTCACGTCTGAGTCCACCTAAGCATCGGCGGTACTGGATTTTGGATTGTTGTAATCAGCTGTTCCACTTGTTTTGGAGTTTAGGAGACCAACTTTGGCTGCGTATAAAAATGTCCTGACTGATGAAAACTTAGAACAACAACTTTGGACCCAGTATTTAATGTAACTCCATCAGCTGTTCGCTGTAAACACACCGCTGTCCGATGGCTGCTATTTCTGAGCAATACATTCAATGCCGACGTACGATCTCAAGCGGACGTTGGTGAGACTGTTGATTGCGATTTACTGGTTTGCAAACAACGGTGGAAAAGAGAGGGACAGTCATAGAAAAACAGCTAACATGCTCGATTTAAAGCCAGTAGCCTCTACTCGCCCATTCTGAAATTCACTGCAAGGCAAGCCCCCCCCCCCAAAGAACCGGTACTTTCATCAAGTACTACCCCCCCGAGCAGAAACATTTTGGGGGGTAAATTAAAGATCCTATTACTAAATTTAGACGCTGGTCCCTTTGGTGGAAATGCAGTGTCTTCCTCCAAAGGTTCCTCATTCAGGGTTATAGTTCCTTTGGTCGAAGCTAGAGAGCTAGAGACTGAGATGGACAGTTTTACGCAGCGGTGCAAGCAGAATTGTCTTGACCTCAACTCCTCCAAAATCAAGGAGCTGGTTGTTAACCACTCTGTTAGTCAACAACCAGTCAGTAGAAAGTGTAATGGCAATATTTGCTTTTTGCTTTACCTCTAGCCTGTATTTCCAGTATCCATATCTTTACCATCATGCACAGGTATGAGTGTAGTTTTACACAGACAGACAAGATTTTCCAGAGATTATTGCAGTTGAGGTTTGGGGTTTATTGCAGTAGTAAATCGTACAAACAGATGAACACACCGGTTGATTTCTTATTCTGTTTCCAGTTGTTTTTGTGGTCTATAACCCGTGGTCTGCTGAGAACTGTGTGTGCTCCCCCTACCTGTGCCTACCACTTCCTGTCACCTATGCCCTCAATATACAACCATGTGCATCTAATCACTGCCACCCAGTATCCAAAATACTGACAAATCTATCTAAACAAAATAAAATATGCCAACAATAATTATATTGTTGTAATATTATTTTCAATAAACTTACCTTCTAACTTATTTACTTACAACCTTTTATTACAGTTACAGTGAGGAAAATAAGTATTTGAACACCCTGCTATTTTGCAAGTTCTCCCACTTAGAAATCATGGAGGGGTCTGAAATTGTCATCGTAGGTGCATGTCCACTGTGAGAGACATAATCTAAAAAAAAAATAATCCAGAAATCACAATGTATGATTTTTTATTTGTATGATACAGCTGCAAATAAGTATTTGAACACCTGTCTATCAGCTAGACTTCTGACTCTCAAAGACCTGTTAGTCTGCCTTCAAAATGTCCACCTCCACTCAATTTATTATCCTAAATTAGATGCACCTGTTTGAGGTCGTTAGCTGCATAAAGACACCTGTCCACCCCATACAATCAGTAAGAATCCAACTACTAACATGGCCAAGACCAAAGAGCTGTCCAAAGACACTAGAGACAAAGTTGTACACCTCCACAAGGCTGGAAAGGGCTACGGGGAAATTGCCAAGCAGCTTGGTGAAAAAAGGTCCACTGTTGGAGCAATCATTAGAAAATGGAAGAAGCTAAACATGACTGTCAGTCTCCCTCGGACCGGGGCTCCATGCAAGATCTCACCTCGTGGGGTCTCAATGATCCTAAGAAAGGTGAGAAATCAGCCCAGAACTACACGGGAGGAGCTGGTCAATGACCTGAAAAGAGCTGGGACCACCGTTTCCAAGGTTACTGTTGGTAATACACTAAGACGTCATGGTTTGAAATCACGCATGGCACGGAAGGTTCCCCTGCTTAAACCAGCACATGTCAAGGCCCGTCTTCAGTTTGCCAATGACCATTTGGATGATCCAGAGGAGTCATGGGAGAAAGTCATGTGGTCAGATGAGACCAAAATAGAACTTGTAACCGCTAAGCTTAAAACAGCCGAGGGTTATGCAGAGGGTTAAAGTGGGCTATAGTTGACGCGCTTACCGTGGTCGCTTTGGCTTGATTGAGCAATGATACAAAGCTTAAAGTTATCTTTTCTTCTCTGTTGTGAGAGATGTTTATTGGATTTACACAAGGATTTCCTTTTCCATAACAGAACAATATTCCATCTTCACCAACAGTCACTTAACATGCATTCAACCACAGCCTCCGTCGCGTGGCGTGGCAGTCAAAAACTAGTTTGCCCTTTTCCCTCTAGCAACACCTGTCCTTGATTACAGCTAGCCTAAGTAGATAAGCCCCAATCACTATGCCATAACCCTAGTGCCACCTAATGGCCAAACCTGGACATAAACATTGAAATGGCTCCTACAGAACTTTTTGGTCATAATTCCACTAACCGTGTTTGGAGGAAGAAGAATGATGAGTACCATCCCAAGAACACCATCCCTACAGTGAAGCATGGGGGTGGGAGCATCATGCTTTGGGGCTGTTTT